TGGCGCTCAGCTGGTGACAACGGCGGGCTCAGCGCGGCCACCGAGGACCCCCAAACCAAACCCCACACCACCAGTGCTGTACCCCCCCCAACTACCCCAAAATCCCGGCTCTAGAGTGCAGGGGGAGCCTGCCGATAGGACCGGGGTGGGGGGGCTGCAAGGGGGACGTGGGGGCTCAAGGAAGGGGGGTGAGGGGGGCACGGGGCAAGGGGATGGGGGAAAATATGGCCCAGGGGGATGAGGTGAGCGTGGGGAGCCAGGGGATCTGGTGCAAGGGGAACACGGGGGATCAGGGGATGGGGGGGGACCTGGGGGGGGGCAGGTTGTGGGGGGGGGGCACGGGGCTGCAGCCAGGCCCCACGGGCCCTCGGGAAGCAGAGGAAGCCGGGGGAGGGCCGGGAAGCGGAGATGGCTGCAGCGGGAGCGCTGCGGTTTCCCCCCTCCCCGTCCCCATCCCCTGGGACTAGGGCCAGGGCTATTTATAGGGCTGGGGGGTTGGGGGGGGTGCTCCCACCGCATCCCATCCCCACTGCCTGCCACGCGGGGTCATCCCCTTGCAAAGGAGGTGGTGGTGGTGGTGGGGATGTCCCCTCCCGTGTCCCCTGACCCGAATTGGCTCCAGCATCGCCCTTCCCTGCCCCGGCCCCACGGGGACAGCACGTGGCCCCCACCCCGGCCAGGCAGGGCGAGGGTGACAGCCCCAAGCTGGGGGGGGGGGAAGCACAGCCAGGGCCTGGGAACACACAGCCCCAGGGCCAACGCAGCCCCTGTGCCCCCCCCTTTCTGCCCCTGGCCCTGGGGGGCAGAATGGGGGACGGTGCCCTCTTTGGAGACCCCCATGGGGGCCCCCCCCCCAAGCTCTCTGGCCCCGTGCCTTCCCCCGGGGGTTTCCGCCAGCCCCACAACGGGGGCTTTGTGGGTGCCCCCGCCCCGGCACGGCCCACAATGGAGGGTTTGTGCGCGGCCCCAGCGCGGGGAGGAGGGGGCGACCCCAGCCGTGCCACCAGCAGCACCCACAGACCCCCACCCCACCCCCCCAGTGGGCATCCAGAACCTTCCAGGCACAGAAGGGGGCAGAAAAGCCAATTTGGCAGCCAGGGGGTGACTCCAACAGAACTGGGGCAGAACTGGGGGGGTCCCCCTTCCCCAAATACCGCCCCCAGCCCTGCATCACCAACACCCCCCCCAGTCCCGAGAGGGTCCTACCTGCTTCCAGAGGAAGGGGTCGGCGGCGTTGCGGTGCCAGGCGATGGCGAGGTGCAGGGCGGAGAGCAGCGCCCCGGCCAGCACGGCCGCCCGCATCCGCACGGGCAGCAGGGTGTAGGTGATGTAGATGAAGAAGACGCTCCACCAAACGCCCTCGGCCGCGCTGCGGGGCGCCGCGGCCACCGTGCCCAACGCCTGCACCCCGGCCAGCAGCCCCAGCACCACGTAGCTCACCACCCACATGTAGTCCTGGGGGAAGGCGCTGCGGCTGCACAGCACCATCAGGAGCAGGAAAAGCCCCGTGGCGCCCGCCAGCGAGGCGGCCGCCGGCACAGTGCGGGGCGCCGGGCAGGCAGTGGAAGAGGAGCATCACCCCGCAGACCAGCACCAGCACCCCCATCAGCACCGTCAGGCTGCTCTGGTTCATCTGGAAGAAGTAACGCTGGTAGAGCCGCTCCAGCTTGGCCGACTGGAAGCGCTTGGAGCGGAAAACCTGCAGCAAACGCCGCCAGCACTCGCCGGCCGACAGCCGCTCGCCGCGACCCCCGGCCCCCTTGGGTGCTTTGGCTTCGCTGTCCTCCAAGCCCAGGTCCCCCGATTTGAGCCCCGGGTCCCCCGCCGGCCCCTTCTTGCCGTAGTGGTCCTCCTGCCAGGTGCAGCGCAGCCCCGGGGTGGCCCGGGGGGGTCCCGCGCCCCGTTCCATCTCAGGGTCCTGCAGGCAGCTCATGTAGCGGGGGCCGCAGAGGGCGGCGCGCGGGCGCTTGCCCTTCTTGCCGTTGCGCTCCCCCCATGCCGTCTTCCTCTCGTCCACCTTGGGCACCAGGATGCCGCTGAACCACGACATGCTGCGGGCACCGCCCGGGGGTCAGCACCCAAACCGGGGGCCCGTTGCCTCCGGGACCCCCGACCGCTACCTCCGGGAAGCACCGAGCGACCCTCTCCGTCCCAACCCGGCCCTCCCCGGGGAGCTGGAGCCCACGGCACCGTGGCACCGGCTCTCCCTCCAGCCCCACGGGTGCCGTGCCCGTGCCGGCGGCAGGTGCCCGGTGGCGGGTGCCGAGGCTGGGCCCCGCCGCGGCCTCCCTGGCGCAGTGACCTGCGGCGAAACTGGAACCGTCCCCGGGCGTCCCGGCCCTGTTTGTCTTGAACGGCGGCCAAACGGCTCCCCGGGGCACCGGGGCCCAACCCGGGATGTGGCAGCCCCGGGGTGCGCAACGAAAGGGAACGGCCGCCGGGAAGGGCCGGGCCCCGGAGCCGGCGGCCGCCTCCCTCCTCCCCTGCACCGGGCACGGCCGCGGGGACCCCCCCCGGGCCCGGCCGCCGCACCCCGGGACGCCTCGGGCCCCGCCAGCGCCCTTCCACCGCCTCCCACCCCGGGGAGCCCCGAGGAGCCCCCGCTGCACCGGCACCGGCACCTCCCGGGGCCCCGAGCACCGCCCCGCGCCCTCGGGGCCGCTCAGCCCCCGCTGCCCCGGGGGCCCTCGCTCCGCCGCACCGGGCGCGCCCCGGCCCCGGGCACGGTCTCCGCCGCCACCGCCCCGGATCCCCGCCCCGGTACCCCGGGGTCCCCCCCTCCGGTCGCCGCGCCCTGTGCGCCCGGTCCGGCCCCGCTCACCTCCGTGTCCGCCGCCGCCGCCGCCACCGCCCGCGGGGCCCCGCGCCCCGGTACGGTCCCGGTACGGTCCCGGTCCGGCTCCGGTCCGACCCCGCCGCCGCCGCCCGTTCTTACACGGCGGCCGCGCTGCGCCCCCGCCGCCCCATCCCGCGCCCAGGCCGGGCCCCCGGTACCGGCCCCGGTCGCGGTCCCGGCCGCAGCCCCGGCCCGCCCCGGCCGGTGCCCGCCCCCCCGGCCGGATCCGCTCCCGGGCGCTCCCGGCCGGCGGTCTTAAAGGCGCAGAGGCGGCGGTCCGGTACGGCCCGGTACGGCCCGGTACGGCCCGGTGCGGCGGGGGAGGCGCGGGCGGCGCGCGGGGGCGGCGGGCGCGCGCGCGGGCACGGGCGGCCCGGTACCCCCGGGGCCGCGCAGACACGGCCACACGCGCCGCCGGCCTGCACCGACATGGCGGGGACAACGGGGACACGCGCGGCCGTGTCCCCGCACACGCGCGGGCACACGCACACACGCCCCCCCCCCCCACACCCCCGTACCCCCCTCCCGGTGCGTGCCCCTTGCACACTCAGCCCCTCACTCGCACGCGCGCGCGCGCGCGCACCCCCCCCGCGCGCATCCCCGCGCCCCCTTGCACGCGCACGCACGCGCTCGTGCACCCTTGCACGCGCGCTCGGCCCCTCTTGCACGCGCATCGCCTTGCACACGCAGACTGCCCCCCCTCCTTGCACACGCACCCCCCCTGCACCCACGCACCCCCATGCCTCCCCAGCGCGCGCACCCCCCCCTTGCACGCTCACCCCCTTGCACAAAGAACCCCAGCATGCACACACCCCTTTGCACACCCCCTCGTTCGTGCCCCCCCCCCCCCATTTGTTCACGCACACCCCCACCAGCACCTATGGGCGCAGGGCACCCCCCCATGCTGCCCCCCCCCCCCAGTTCCAGGGGGGGCACGGATCAGGCTTTGGGGCACCCGCAGCCCCAGGAGGGGTCCAGCCCCGGGCCTCCTGCTCCCCCCCCCCCCCGTTATCCCGGGGGGGCAGGAAAGGGTCGTGCAACCCCCCCTTAACAGCAGCACCCCCCCATCCCCCCCCCGCAGCAGCGCTGGGCCCCGGGGAACGCAGATTAATCATTAATTACCAGCGCCGCCGCTGTCCCCGTGTCCCCGCGGCCCCGTGAGGAAGTGCCGCCGGGCTGGGGGGGGAAGAGGGGGGGGTGGCAGTGCCACCCGTGTCCCCGGGAGGCCACCAGCGCCCGGCACAGGGACAGGGCTGGGGGCACCCGGGGGCTTGGGGGGGGTCCTTGGTCCCAGGGAGGCCGCATTGCACCCCCCTGGGGGTCGGCACCCAGCGGCACCATCCTGCCCCCGGCCGGATCCTGACCCTGATGGGGACCCCTGGGCTGGATCCTGACCCTACTGGGGACCCCCAGAACAGATCCTGACCCTACTGGGTACCCCTGGGCTGGATCCCAGCCACAGTGGGGCTCACTTGGACCAGATCCTGACCCTGTTGCGGCTCTCGGGGCTGGATCCTGACCCTGTTGGGGTTCCCCAGGCTGGATCCTGACCCTGCTGGAGTTTTTGGGGCCAGATCCTGACCCTACTGGGGCTTCTTAGGCTGGATCCTGACCCTGATGGAGCTCCCTGGGCCAGATCCCGACCTTTGCTGGGGCTCCCCGGAACGCATCCTGCCCCTGCTGGGGATCCCTGGGCCAGATCCTGACCCTGTTGGGGTTCCCCAGGCTGGATCCTGACCCTGCTGGAGTTTTTGGGGCCAGATCCTGACCCTACTGGGGCTTCTTAGGCTGGATCCTGACCCTGATGGAGCTCCCTGGGCCAGATCCCGACCTTTGCTGGGGCTCCCCGGAACGCATCCTGCCCCTGCTGGGGATCCCTGGGCCAGATCCTGACCCTGTTGGGGTTCCCCAGGCTGGATCCTGACCCTGCTGGAGTTTTTGGGGCCGGATCCTGACCCTACTGGGGGCTCCCCGGGCCGCATCCCTCCCCTTTTGGCACTCCCCAGACCAAACCTCGGCCGTGCCGGAGCTCCCCGGGCCTGCCCCTGCCCACTCTGCTCCTCCCCGGGCCGGATCCCGACCCCCCCCCCCCGGGACCGCTGGGGCCGGTCCCCGCCCCGCTGCCCCCCTCCCTCCCACCCCCCCCCCCAGGGGCCGCAGCAGCCCCGGCGCCGCCTCCATCGATCGCGGGCGGCTTCGCGGCGATGCCGCAGCACCGCGGGGCCGGGCAGGATGGGGCCAGCCCCGGGGACACCGGGGATTTTGAGGGGGGGTTGGGGGGGGGACCCGGTGTGAACACCCCAAACCCCGGGCACGGCCCCACGCGGGGATACGGGGACAGAACCGTGGGGGGGGGGGGGGGGCCCGGACACCGACACGCGTGGGTACGGCGGCGGCACCGGGGCCTGGCAGCACCGGGGGCTGCGGGGAGGAGCCGTAACCCGGTGCCCCCCCCTCTCCCCCTCCGCCGCCGCCCGGTGGCTGCCCAGCTCCGGGGGCGCAGCCGGACGCCACGGGGATGGGCGCGGGGGCGGGCAGGCGGGGGCGGGGACGACCGGGACGCCCCGGCGGCCCCGTGTGATGCGGAGCGAGGCGGCGGCGGCGGCGGCGGCGCGGCCCTTCCCGGCGGAGCGCCGCGGTCCGGTGCGGGGCGGCCCCGCCGGGATCCCGGGGGGTGCCGCCGGGGATGTCCGGCTCGCCGCAGCCCGCCGCTCCCGGTTCCTTCCAGGTGAGCGAGCCGGAGCCTTCCCGGTCCTCCAGGGGCCGGTTGGGTTCGGCTCGGTTCCATTCGGTTCTTTTGGGGGAGGGGGGGAGGAAAGAGGGAGGGGGGCTGCCGGTAACGCCGCAGCGGCGGGGGCCGTGCCTCCCGGTACTCACCGGCCGCCCCCGCCGCTCCCCCCCCCCCCCCCACACCACCCCCATCCCCTCGCAGAGCCCCCGGAGGCTGCCGAAGCGCAAGAGCCGCTTCAAGCGCTCGGACGGCAGCACCTCGTCCGACACCACCTCCAGCATCCTCCGCAGGCAGGTGAGCGGGCACCGGCACCGGCACCGGGGCGGGGCAGCCCCGCCAGCCCCGTTTTTTTCCCCCCCCCCTCTCTCCTTTCCTCCCTCCCCAGCTCGCTCTCGGGGGCGGCGGCGCTGCGGCTCCGCAGTAAGGCACGGGCCGAGGGAGCGCCCGGTTCCCTTTTGTGTCCCCCCCACCCCAAAAAAAAAAAAAAAAAAAAAAATCCTCGCCCCCGGTACGGCGGGGACCCGACCGGCCGGTGCTCAACCTCATCCCCCCCCCCTCGCCCCGGGACCGGAGCCGGGCTCCGGTACCGGGCTCCGGTGGCATCGCAGCGGCTAAAAATAGCGAGTGCTGCGTCAGGGCCGGGCCGGCCCCGCCGGGCACCGGCACTGCGGCGCCGGGGGGGGGTGGGGGGGGCGGCACCGGGGAAACTGAGGCAGCGTCAGGATACCGGGGGGTGTCCCCGGGCCGCCCCCATTCCCCGCTCCCTTAGCCTGTCCCGCTCCCGTTCCGGTTCGCCCCGGTACCGGGCGCCCCCTCCCCACCTCCGCCCGGGGTACCGGGGAGCACCGGGGAGGGGATGGGGGGCGCGGGACGGCTCGGGGGGGGGTCTCAGGGTGGCCGGAGCACCCGGTAACCCCCGCAGGGTGCCTCCTGCCCCCCTCCCGGTACCCCCGGAGCCCCCGGTACGCCCCATCCCCGACCCCAGCGCGGTGCCTTCAGCACCTCGGAGAGGGCCCGGGCCGGCCCCGCCGCTGCCCCGGGGCCGGTACCGGTGCCCCCCGGGACCGAACCCGGTCCCCCCCCCACCCCCCCATCACCCGGGGGCTCCCCGGTTCGGGCCGGCCCGGTGCCTCCGGTACCCGTCCCGCCGTGCGGTAACGGGGCGGGCCGGCCCGGTCCCCCGGGAGCCGCAGCTGCCCCCCTCCTCGGGGGCGGGGGGGGCGCGGCGGGGGGGCGGGAGCGGCTCCGGCCCCGCCGCAGGGCTCGGCCCGCAGAACGGGGCTGCTGCCGGCTCGGGGCAGGACGGGGGCCGCCGCCGCCGCACCGGAGCATGGAGGTACCCACGGGTCCCCCCCCAACACCGCCCCCCTCCCCGGTACCACCGGCCGAGGGGGCTCCGGGGGGGGGGGGAACCGGCACGGCCCCGCCGCTGCTGCCCCGGGACCCCCCCTCCCCGGTAGCCCCGTCCCGGTGCTCAGCACCGGAGCCGCTCGGGACCCCCGGCGGATAGTTGGGGGGGGGGGGGCACACCGGAGAGGGTCCGTAACCCCCCCCCCCCCCGGGGAATAGGGAGCCGCCCCCCTCCCCGGTGTGTCCCCCCCCCCATCTCCCCCATCCCCATCCCGGTGCGGCGGGGGCGGCCCCGAGCGCGGCGGCTCCGGGAGCCCCGGGGAGGTGGCGGGGGGGGGATTGGAGGGGGGGGGGGCGGCGGGAGGCGGGGGCGGGGAGGGGCGGGGAGGGGCGGCGGAGCGGAGCGGAGCGGAGCGGGCAGGGCCAGGCGAGCCCGAGCCGCAGCCGGAACCGGAGCCGGTGCCGGTAACCGGGTGGCGGCGGTGGGGGGGCGGGGGGGGGCTCGGCTCGGCTCGCCCCGTCTATGTCGTTTTCTGACTCCAGCGCTACCTTCCTGCTCAACGAGGTACCGGCCCGGTACCGGGGTGGGGGCGGGGGGGGCACCGGGGGGGGGGACACACACCGTGATCGCGATGTGGGGACCGGGGGGAATCCGTGCGCGGCGGGGGGGGGCCGTGCCCGCTGTCACCCCTCGCCTTGTGTCGCCCCTCGTGTGTGTCCCCCCCCGCCCCCTCCGGCCCTTTGTTCCTCGCCGCTGTCCCCCCCCCTCCCTCGGGCAGGTGCCCCCCCCTCGAACCCCTCCGTGGCCGCGGACCCCCCCGAGGGGTTTCATGGTGGGGGGGGGGCGGTGATGGAGACGCCGCGCTGGGGATGCTGAGGGGGGGCTGGTGAGATGCTGGGGGGGGTGGGGGGGAGGCGTGCTGGGGAGGCCATGTTGGGGGGGGGCCATGCTGGGAAAGCCATATTGCTTCTGTTGGGGGGGGCTCTAACACCACCCCCCCCCGGGGATGAGCGAAGCTGAGATGCGCAGGGTGGGGGGCATGGGGGGGGGCGCGCCACGTTGCTGAGCTCAGCTCGCCAGGGCCTGGAGCTCCTCGGGGGGGGGCGGGCGGGGGGCCGCGGGGGGGGGGCTCAGCCACATCCAGGCACCTATAAATATTTCACTGCAGCTTCTGCGCCTGTTCCGGGCGCAGCAGGCAGCCGCTAATTGCCGGCGGGGGGGGGGAAAAACCGGGGGGGGGCCGCACCGAGGCCCCGCACTTGGGTACCCCAGGGCTGGGGCTGGGGAATGGGGCTGGGGGGGGGGCCTGGGCAGGGCCACAGCGTGGTTGGGGGGGGACAGGATAGGGTCCCACGACCCCCAGCTCAGCCCTACATCCCATACTGGGGGGGGGGGGCTCTAGGTTTCCCCCCCCCCCCAGCACGCGGAGCTGATGCCACGCGCGGGCTCCCAGTTTGGTGGCACCGGGGACACCGAAAGCGGGATGGGGAGGACCGGGGACCCCTTTTCCAGGCTGGCCCTGCTGGCAGGGGGTGGGGGCAACATGGACACCCCCACCCCGTTGTGGGGGGGTCCCCGCAGCCCCCCCAGCACTCAGCCCCGTCCCGCAGGGCTCGGCCGACTCCTACACCAGCCGCCCGTCCCTGGACTCCGACGTGTCCCTCGAGGAGGATCGCGAGAGCGCCCGGCGCGAGGTGGAGAGCCAGGCCCAGCAGCAGCTCGAGAGGGCCAAGGTACGGGACTGGGGGGGGCTCATTTATTTATTTTTTGGGGGTGGGGGGAAGGCGCTGAGCCCCCCCCCCCACTTTCCTCCCCAGCACAAGCCGGTCGCCTTCGCCGTGCGCACCAATGTCAGCTACTGCGGGGCGCTGGACGAGGAGTGCCCGGTGCAGGGAGCCGCCATCAACTTCGAAGCCAAAGATTTCCTGCACATCAAGGAGGTGAGACGGGGTTCATTTTTTTTTTTTTGGGGGGGGGAGCAGGATCAGGGCCCCCCCAACCCGCCTCCTTCCCCCCCCCCCCCCTTTTTCAGAAATACAGCAATGACTGGTGGATCGGGCGCCTAGTGAAGGAGGGGGGGGACATCGCCTTCATCCCCAGCCCCCAGCGCCTGGAAGCCATGAGGCTCAAACAGGAGCAGAAAGCCAGGTAGGGAGCGGCCCCCCCCCCCCGGCATCTTGCCCCCCCCCGGCCCCCACTCACCTCCTGTCTGCCCCAGGAGAGCTGGCAACGCCTTGGGCCTCGGCGACAGCGGGAACCGGCGATCGCCTCCCCCTTCCTTAGGTAAGGGAAGGTCGGGGGGGGGTGCATGGGGGGGTCCAGGGGACATGGGGGGGTCTGGGGGGGTCCACCGCGTTGTCACCAACCTCTGTCTTTTCTCTCTCCCCCCCCCAAGCCAAGCAGAAGCAGAAGCAGGTGAGGCCCCAGGAGGGGGCTGGGGGAGATGGGGAGGGGGCCGCAGGCAGAGTTTGGGGCTGGGGGGGGGGAGCTACACCCCTCTCCCCAGCTGGTTTTTGGGCTGGGGGGGGTCAGGACACCCCTGTTCACTGAAATCCCCCGGGGGTGGGATCACAGAGCACTGACCCATCCCCACGCCCCCCCCCCCCCCGCAGACGCAGCACATCCCACCCTACGACGTGGTCCCCTCCATGCGGCCGGTGGTGCTGGTGGGACCCTCGCTGAAAGGATACGAGGTATTTTTTTGGGGGGGGGTCCTACCCCATCCCATCCTGTCCCCCCCCCCCCCCCCCCATTTTCTCCGTGCCGGTGGCAGGCAGATGGCAGGGCCGGGGGGGGCACCGCACGACTGCCACCTCCCCGCCGCTGCCATCTGCCACCGGCTCACCGCGCGGCCGCCCCGCCGCAGGTCACCGACATGATGCAGAAAGCCCTCTTCGACTTCCTCAAGCACAGATTTGACGGCAGGTGAGCCCCCCCCAGCCCCCCAGACCCCCCAAAGCCCCTTCCCCTGCCGCACACGAGCCCCCCAGCGCTGCTTCTGCCCCCCCCCTCCCCTCTCGCAGGATCTCCATCACCCACATCACGGCCGACCTCTCCTTGGCCAAGCGCTCCATCCTCAACAACCTGGGCAAGCAGGCCATCCTGGAGCGCTCCACCACCCGCTCCAGCATCGGTGAGGGGCCAGGGGCATTGAGGGGGGGGTCTCCCCTGGGGGGTGGCGGGCCTAAAAGGTCCTCTCCGCCCCTCCCCAAGCCGAGGTGCAGAGCGAGATCGAGCGCATCTTCGAGCTGGCCAAGTCCCTGCAGCTGGTGGTGCTGGACGCCGACACCATCAACCACCCGGCGCAGCTGGCCAAAACCTCGCTGGCGCCCATCATCGTCTACGTCAAGGTGTCCTCCCCCAAGGTGAGGGGGGGCTGGGGCTCTGGGTGGGGGGGTCCCAGCTCGTCCCTAGGCTGCCATCACCCTCCTGTCCACCCCCCCCTTCAGGTCCTGCAGCGGCTCATCAAATCCCGTGGCAAGTCCCAGGTGAAGCACCTCAACGTGCAGATGATGGCAGCGGATAAGCTGGTGCAGTGCCCCCCGGTGAGCCCTCAGCTCCCCCCTTCCCCCCAAAAACCCCAGGATAACACCCTGGGGGGGGCTCCCCGTGCCCTCCCTCACCCCTTCCTGCCCTTCCCCAGGAGCTTTTTGATGTGATCCTGGATGAGAACCAGCTGGAGGATGCCTGCGAGCACCTGGCCGAGTACCTGGAGGTGTACTGGCGCGCCACGCACCACCCGCCGCACGCCCCGCACGCCGTGCCCTCGCCCACCAGCCTCCCGGGCTTGCAGGTACCCGCAAACCAACCCCCCCGCAAACACCCCCCGGGGGGGTTAAAAGGAAAGGGGTGGCCCCCTCCAGCCCCGTTTCTGCCCCCCCCTCCTTCTCCCAGAGCCAGCAGCTGCTGGGGGAGCGGGGCGAGCACTCGCCGCTGGAGCACGACAGCCTGATGCCCTCGGACGAGGCCAGCGAGCCCTCGCCCAAACCTTGGGCGGCCTCCTCGCAGCGCGGCTCCCGGCACCTGGAGGAGGAAGAGGAGTACGGGGAGCCTTACCCCGACCTCTACCAACCCCACCGGCATCACAACAGCGGGCTGCACGGCCCCCCCGGCCCCGCCGCGCAGGAGCGCCTGCTGGAGCGCCCGCCCGAGCGCGACCACGACAGGAACTGGCAGCGCAGCCGGCCCTGGGCCAAGGACAGCTACTAGGGCGGGTGGGCAAAAGGGGAAGGGAAAAGGGGAAAAAAGGGGTTGGGGCCCCTTCCCTGGGTCCTCGCCGCCCCTTTTTACCCCAACCCCAGCCCCGCGCTGGGGGTGCTCAGACAATCTCCCCCCTTCTCTCGGGGAACTCCTCTCGGCAGCGGCAGCTTCCCGGCGCCTGGCCCCGGGCACCGTCTTCAGCCATAATAAGCACAGGAGGGGGCCGGCGGCCAGGATGCCAGGGCCCCCCCCCCCCTCAAAAAAACAAAAATCCAACCCCCTCCCTGGCTCCTGGTGACCCGAGAGCAGCCACAAGCCTTCTCCCTGCCTCAGTTTCCCCGCCTGCCCCCCCCCCCAGCATCATTCCCCGCAGGGCAGCCGCCATCAGCAGAGGGCCCCCCCCCCCCAAAAAAAAAAGGACTCATAGGCTCGGTAAAAGGGGGGGGGCACAGTTTCAAGCAGCATCCCCCCCATCCCGCTGCCCTGAAGATGTAGGGGACAGTGACAGCGCTCACCTTCCCCCCCCCGGGGCCTGTCCCCTCCCCTGCCCCTGCATGGGACCCCCCCAGGAGGAGGGGGCCACACCAGTTGCTTCGCTCTGCACCAATTTCCCCCCCCGGCCCCCCCTGTTCACAGTAGCCAAACTGCTTCCTCCCCCCGGGGACAGGGGGACAGAGGGGGACAGGGGGACCCCCTGTGGGGCTGCTGGACCCTATAGGGGGCTGCTGGACCCCACAGGGGGCTGCTGCCCCCCACCTGCACTCGCTGCCCCCCTCCCCACCCCCCTGTCCCCGCACGTCACCGCCGTCCTGTAAATACAGCGCCCACGGCCCTCGGCCGGCGGCTGCTCCCCCCGCAGGGAGCTGTCCCCAGCCGGCGGAGGGGAAGGGGTGGGAGCCACAGATTTGTTATAATTTCTTTTTGTAGAAAGCACTGAATTGCCCTGTAACTTGTTTCAGAAACACGAGCGTGCTCGGAGGCAGCGGTGTGGCGGTTTTCTGGCAGTTGGGGAAGGGGGAAAAGCTGAATCAGGGGGACTGCAGGAGCCGGGGGTGGGTGAGGGACGGGTCCCGGGCTCTTCTTTTAGGGGCACGGCCACCTCTGAGCACCTCAGGGTGCAGGGAAGAGGCCGGCGAGGACACGAGGAGGTGCCACAGGAACAGAGAGCACGGGGAGGCGACGTCTGGCAACGCTGCTGCAGGTTTATTCCTGCAGCTTGGAGGTTTCGCTAAAAAAGGGAGGAAAGGAACACAGCTCCAGGGACAGCCCCGGCTACAAACCAGCGCAAGGATCCCAACCCCGACCCTGCCTGGGGAACAGGGGGGCAGGGAGGAACCTGCCCCCAAAAAGCCTCCGGCAGCCCCAAAAGTCCACGGTGAAGGCAGGGAGAGGGAGTGGGAGCACACAGGGGACGTTTCGGGGCAGTCCCGGCCCCAATCCCTGCTGTCAGCAGTCCTGGCTGCACCGGGGCCTGGGGTTTGGGGGAAGGAGCAGCCAACAAAGTCCCGGCGGCCCTCGGTGGCCCTGCTGTCCCCAAAGGGGTGGCCGAGAGGTGAACACCATCCCCGGGGCCTCAGGCGAAGATGGTTTCCTCCCGCCTCTTCTTGGTGAGGATGGTGCCAGGCTTGTGCTGGGCGTCGGGGTGGTTGGCCAGCTCGGGGGGGCAGGAGGAGACGGGGCTCTCCAGGATGGCCTGCTTCAGGTCGTAGAAGACGGTGGAGTCCTCCTTGGTGAGGAAGGTGATGGCCACGCCGCTCTTCCCCGCGCGGCCCGTCCGCCCGATGCGGTGGATGTAATCTGCAGGGGGGTGGGAGAGTCAGGCAGGGCCACCCCACCCCGTGCCCCCCGCCAAAAATGAACCATCCTAGCCAAAACCAGGCCTCGGACTCACCCTCGATGTTCTTGGCCATGTCGTAGTTGACGACCATGGAGACGTCGTGGATGTCGATACCACGGCCGGCCACGTCCGTGGCCACCAGGATGTCCTTGGCCCCAGCCTTCAGGTTGGAGAGGGCGAACTCTCGCTGCTCCTGCCCTTTGCCGCCGTGCAGGGTGCAGGCGTTGTACTGCAGGACGAGAAGGGGGTCAGCAGGGGGTGGAAATGGGGACTGGGAGGACCGGAGGGGAGCTGGGGGGTGTCCACACTCCCATGGCACTGTCGTGGCGTGGAGGACGACAGAAGGACACCAGGGACAGGACTGGGTTAAATCCCTGTGATGATTTGGTCCCAAGACAAATCACTGGGACCTGTGGGGCCTGGGGACAGCACCACAAAATGCAAAAGCTTCTGGTTGAGGGATGGAAAGAGGGAGACAGGCTGTGGGATGACAACCACTGCCAAAAGGGTGAGGCCCCCCACTCACCCCCATCTTCTCCAGCGACTTCGCCAGCACGTCGCAGCCCTTCTTCTGGTTGACAAAAATGATAATGGGCGGGTCGAAGCCCTGCTCCAGAATGGCTAACAGCTTCTTCCTGTTGGGAGGAGGAGAGTTAGGCTAAGGGGGAGAAGCTGCAGTGCCCCAAGAGCCATTCCGCTCTCCGGGATCCCACATTTCCCCCCTCCACGGAGCTCTCTCGCCCCCAAAACGCCCCCGACCCCCCTCCTCTCCGCACCTCTTCTCCGACTCTGACATGAGGAAGACCTTCTGCTCCACCCGCTCGTGTGGCTTGCCGGCGGAGCCGATGTAGACCACAGCCGGGCGGCGGAGGTAGCTGCGGGCCAGGCGCTCCACCGCCGGCGGCATGGTGGCCGTGAACATCACGGTCTGCGAGGGATCAGAGCAGTGAGCAGAGGCCCCGTGGGGTGGGAACGCAGCCCCAGTTCTCTCATCCCAGTCCCCAAAGCCCCCAAATTGTCCTTTTTCCATCCCGCAGCCTGGAGGCAGCACCCTAAATTCTGCTCCGGGCTCCTGCCCGCACCCACCTGCCTGTACTTGTGCTTCCCCGACTCGAAGTTGGCCAGCATCTTCTCGGGGTCCTCGGCCTCGTCCGTGTCGGGTTTCTGGTTGGTGACGGGCATGTGCTCCAGGATCTTCTGCACGTCGGGCTCGAAGCCCATGTCGATCATGCGGTCCGCCTCGTCCAGCACCACGTAGGTGCAGCGGCTCAGCACCAGGTAGCGATTCTCCAGCACGTCGATCAGACGCCCCGGCGTGGCGATGACGATCTGGGGGCCAGAGGGTTGATGTCCATGGCCTGGTTGGGACCTGGCCCCTACGGGGGGGCTGGTGCTGCCCCCAGAGCCCCCCACAGGACCCTGCGGAGCCTCCTGACCCTCACCTCGCAGCCCATGCGCAGGCGGAAGCCTTGGTCCTCACGGGAGATCCCTCCGATCACGGCCACCGTGCGGATGCCCAGCGGCTTCCCAAACTTGATGGTTTCCTCCTCGATCTGCTGGGCCAGCTCTCGAGTAGGGGCCAAGATGATGGCGTAGGGACCTTGGTCCGACTCCTCGATCCTGCCAGCAGGAAGGATACGGCCATGGGGATGCAGTGACCCCCTCCGCAGCATCCCCGCGCCCCATCCCAAATCATCCCCGTACCCCCCGTGCCACCCACCGGTCAATTTTGGGCAGGGTCGTGATCCAGACGAGCAGGGGGATGAGGAAAGCGGCCGTTTTGCCGCTGCCCGTCTCAGCCACGCCGATGATGTCGCGGTTCTGCAGGCCGATGGGGATGGCCTGGCGCTGGATGGGGGTGGGCTCCTGGAGAGAGGGGAGAGGCAGGTTTGGGAGCAGAACTTCCCCCTTGCATGAATTACCCCAAAAAAAGACCCAGGAGCACCGATCCTGCTCCCCACGAGGGCCCCTGCTCCCCGTGCCCACCTTGTAGCCGCACTTGTCGATGACCTCCAGGATGTGGGGAGGGAGGGATGAGTCCTTCCAGGAGCGGATGGGGTTGGGGATTTTGCCCCCTTTGGTGGTGATGCTGTAGTCCTCGCGGAAAATCCGCCAGTCCCTGTCTGTCATCTCGTCCAGCTTCTTCTGGGACCAGTGGCGGTCGTCCCAGCGCTGCTTGGCCTCCTTCTTCCGCAGCTTCCGCAGCCTGGCCCTGAGTGGGGGGCGGAAAAAGGGGACAGGGTTCACCCCACACCTCTGGGGACACGGGATTTGTCCCTCCACCTCCAGAGGGACACGCTGCAGCCTGCTGCCACCCCCCAGCTCTGTGCCCTCCCAGCTTCTCCCCAGAGCTAAGCGCACTCACTCCTCCTGCTCCTTCTCCTCCAGGGTTCGCCTCTTTTCCATCAGGTCCCCGTAGAAACGCGACTGCTCCCTCTTCTGCTGCTTCAGGTCAATCCCAGCGATGAAGCCCCGGCCCAGCAGCTGCACTTGGTGCCGTTCCTTGTACCTAGGGGAGGGCAGGAGCGTTAGGAGGAGGGCTGGGGCTGCCCAGCACTCCCCTGGGGCACCCCAACACCCCCCTGGGGAACCCCAGCACCCCCCTGGGGAACCCCCAGGCCCTCACAGCGGGTTGTAGTCGATGGAGGTGTCCTCCGATGCATCCCACTCGAAGACAAACTTGCGGTCGTTCAAGTGCCGCGTCCGTCTCCGCTTCTTCACCCCTCCCAGGTAGCGCTCCTGCGGGCAGCAGAGCATCAGCAGGGCAGGAACCCGGGCATTCCGGCCCCAAGAGTGCCCCCCAGGCCAGCCCCCAAGCGGCACCTTGATGGCGTGGAGCTCTTTGCTTTTGTCTTTCTCCTCCCGGATCTTCTGCCTGCCCTCCTCGTCCTCCGTGCCGTTGGTCTCCCGCTCCATGCGCTCCCGGCGCTCCCTGCGCTCACGCTCCTGGGGGTCTTCTGGGGAGCAGGGGAAGGACCTCAGAGGGGCCCAGCGCCCCCCAACGAGGCTGGGGAGGCTTCCAGGGGGGGTCCCAGCACAGCCCCTCGCACCCAGCAGGCAGGGACGACACCTTACCTAGCATCTTCCTCCCCATTTCCTGGAACTGCTTCCTCTTCTTCCTCTCCTCCTCCAGCAGCCGCTGCCGCTCCTCCACCTCCTGCTGCCGCCGCCGCAAAGCCTCGGCCTCCCGCTCTGCTTTGGACAGGAATTTGGGCTGTGGAAGGAAAAAAAAGGCTCAAACCTGGCCTGGCCACCCCAGGACACGACGCCCCACTCCAGCCACCCATCCCGTACAGCTGCCACAGCCAGGACTCTGTGGGAAGGGAGGGCTCCCCCTTTTACCTTCGCTTCTGCCTCCTCCTCAGCTTTCTTCTTCGCCAGCAGCTCCTCCAAGGACAGGGGTTGGGCCTGAAAACGTGGGGCCGGATCGTTAACAGCCCCCGGGGGGGGGAGTTTGCTTCAGCAGAGGCACCCCAAGCGCTGCAGGAGCTGCGAACCAAGGCCCCGCTCCTCACCTTCTCCTTCTTCAGCGCGTTCTCCTCCTCTTCCTCCAATTTCCTTGAGTCCCGCTCCTTCCGGGACTTCGAGTCCTTGCCCCTGCTTGGGGACAAGCTTCCCAGAAAAACGGGGAGGGGGGAAAAAATCAGGCACTGAACACAGCCCCGGGCCCACCCGGTCCCCTCCGATGGGGGAAATCCCCCCGGAGCAGAGCCCAGGACGCTGCCACCCCGCAGCAAAACGGGGCCGCAGCCGCCCCAAAACAAGAGGACGCTCACCTGGAGCGCTTCCTGTCCTTATCCCGCCGGTGCCCATCCTTCTCCCGGTCCCGGTCCTTCTTGCCCCGGTCCCGATCTCGGTCTTTGTGCCGGCGGTCCCTGCGGAAGGGGACGGGGACGGTAACAGTGAGACCCCCGTGTCCACCTCCTCAGCCCCTCCTGAGGCTTCCACGGACCCCCGAGGGGGGAGAACGGTTCGCTAAGAGGCTCACGGGGCTCACCTATCTACCGACTTGGAGCGGGACCGGGAGCGGGAGCGGCTGCCTCGCCTCCTGTCCCGGGACCGGTGCCGTTTCCTATCCTTGCCGGGGGACCCCTTGCGGTCCCGGTCGCGGTCCCTGTCCCGGTCGCGGTCCCTGTCCGGGGACCGGGAGCGTTTCCTCTCCTCCTTGACGGGCGACGCGTCCCGGTCCTTCTTGTCCGCCACTTCTCCAGCCATCTGCGGGACGGGGGCTCAGCGGGGGCCGCCGGGGGGGGGGGGGGGGGGAACCGGGGACCGGGGGGGGGGACACCGGGAACCGGGCAGAACCGGGGACCGGGGGGGACAACCGGGGGCCGGGGGGGGACCCGGGACTGGGCAAAACCGGGCACCGGGCAGAACCAGGGGCCAGGGGGGACACCGGGGGCCGGTGGGGGGGGGGCACCGGGAGGAACCGGGAGTTGAGGGGGGGGGCACCGGGGAGAACCGGGGGTCGTTGTGGGGCACCGGGGACCAGGCCCTGCCTGCGAGCCCGGCTCGGGAAAGGGAACAGCAGGGTCCTGCAGCCTCCCCCCGGTCCCGGGAGGATCCCCGGGGCCTTCCTGCCTGTCCCCGGCCCCGTCTCACCGCCGCAGGCCTCAGCTCCGCCGCGCCGCCATCACCGCCGCCATAGCCGCCGCCGAGCGCCGCGGGGCACGCCGGGAAAGCGAGTCCCGGGGACTGCAACTCCCAGCAGCCCGCGCAGCGAACCCCCCGCAAATGGACTACAACTCCCAGCAGCCCCCGCGGCCTCCCCGTTCCTGTACCCTCAGGCCTAGGCCGGCCCTGCGCTGGCCCAGGGATCCCCCAGCGGCCCAGATCCGTCCAGTTGATTATTTTATCAATTAATAAAAGCCTCACATTGATGGTTTTATCAATTAATAAAGTCTTACATTGAATATTTTATCAATTAATAAAAGCCTCACATTGACGGTGTTATCAATAAGTCTCACATTGATTGTTTTCTCACTTAGTACAAAAATCTCACGTTGATTATTTTCTCACTTCATAAAAATCTCACGTTATTTTATCACTTAACAAGTCTCACATTGATTATTTTGTCAATCAATAAAAGTCTCCCATTGACTATTTTATCAATTAATTAATAGAAGCCTCACATTGATTGTTTTATCAATTAATAAAAGCCTCATATTGACCGTTTTATCACTTAATAAAAATCTCACATTGATTGTTTTATCACTTAATAAAAAATTCACGATTGTTATATCAATTAATAAAAGCCACACGTTGATTATTTTATCACTTAATACAAGGCTGACGTTGATTGGTTTATCACTTAATTAATAAAAGCCTCCATAGCACTGGTGGGATCTGTTAAACGTCGTCTCCTTGTGGACAAGGTGCTGAGCACCAGGGTGGGCAAAATCCCAAACCCTCCGTCACCCAACGCTCCGTTTCAGGCCCCCGCAGTCCCCATGGGTGAGCCACAGAGCGAGGGCTCTGCTCAGGCCACCCCTAAACAACCCCAGGAGTTTGGGATTTGTACAGTATCGGGTGAGCCCTGAAGCTTCCCTGGGTGTAACCGCTGTCGTTTGGGATTTCAAACATCAGGGGTTTATTCAGGAAACTAATTCCTGTGAAACTCCCCCTGATCCTGACTGTACCCAGCACCTGGTGGTGCTCAGTGTGTTATTCAACTCATAATTTCTCAAGCAGATAAGGAATGAGATGGTTGGTATTGCTTACAGCACCTTCAGTCACTGGGGGCAGAATTCGGGTGTTTGGCAGAACCTGGTCCCTGAACACCTTGGTGCCGACCTAATCTGGCACCCCGAGCCCCAGCCCCACAAATTATCGACCACCTTTTAAAGCCCGCAGCTCATTAGGGTGCCCCAGGGCCCAACTTCAACCTGTGCGGGGATTACAAGCAATCATAATTAGTCTTTGCGTTAGAATTGAACCCAAACACGATTTCAATTAAAATTTAACACCACAACATGAGCTCGTGATGATTCTGACCTAGAAACCTCGTGGACCTGTAATAATGAATCAGCAATTACTAGTGATGATGTTTTTGATGGTCTGGAACTCCGGAACCTTAGATTGAGTTGTTAATAACATGAATTACCAAAGATACCGTAATTTCACTCATCCTGGCCCTACACGCTGTAGTCTACAGCGCAATGGCTGGCCAAGCACTAATAACAACTGGGAAATATGCAGACCTGACAACATATATGCATGGATAGGTCACAATCCCTTCTGGACAATCCAATTAAGCCCAACACGCCTAAAAAAATCCCATTGTTCTTCCAAGCCGTGGTGCTGGCTGCCAACAGCGCAATGACTCCTGGCAAAGCCGGCGACGAGCGGCTCAGCACCGGGGAGCCTCCTGCCGCAGCGGGCGGGCGCCTGCACCGCAGCACGCCTTGCTCCCCAGACACTTCCAGCTCCAAAATTTAATATTTTAACTTTCTACGCAGCCACGGGGTGACGTAGTAAGCACCAAGTGTCTGACCCCGCAGCGGGAAGGCCAAGTTGTTGGGTTTTACACGTCTCCATGTGGTGGCAGGAGACCTGGACAGGGCAGGATTTGTGCTGGGAGTCCAAATCCTCGGACTCGGCAAGGAGAGCACCGGAGAGCTCCGTCCATCAGCAACGGGCCCTGCTCCCTGGTGCCCTACTGATAAAACCCCAAAATAACACGTGTGTGTACCTACGAGTAAATAATTGTAACTGAACACTGGCTTTATTGGCAACGTTTCTATAAAAAGGAAAAAAAAAAGAAAAAAAGCCTCTGTGTCCTTGGGTATTATAGAATCCCACAAACCCACTACTGTGACACCCCCCAACACCCCACTGCTCCATGCGAGCCCCACAACCAGCACCGCATCCAGCCCCAACCCCCTAACCCTACAGTTAACCCCCCACCGTCACCTCCCCCCCATCCCCAAGCCGTCCCCTTGCTGGGGGACCAGGTAGAGCCATGGGGCAGCAGGACACCCCCATAGGGACCCTTATGGGGTACCCGAGGCTGCCCCACAGTGCCCAGGCAGAGCCCTGGCCCAGCCCGGGGGGGGGGCCCACACAGCTCCAGGGCTCCCACCCCACCCCAGGGACTTTACCCTGGGACACCCTACGTCACCACCCATGGGTGACAGCGCAGCCAGCTGCTGGCATCGCGTCACCTTTCCCTGCTGGCACCCCAGGAAGGACCCTGCCCTGGGGAGTGCCACGGCTGAACCTCCCCCTTGCCCCCCCCAAAACACAGCACCAGGCACCTGCTGCACGTGGGTAGTTGTTATATTTTTTTTTCTGATAATAAATAAGCTTTTTAATAACACTGAACATTGAACAGAGTCACCCCAAGAGACAGTCTATAAAACAGCCGCCCCCTCCCCGGAGCCCCGCTCCCCACACTGGGGCTGGAGGGAGGGGGGGGGGGGGGGGCCACCCCGAGGCATCTCGGGGCCAAGCAGCAGATGAGGAATGGGGCAGAGCCGGACACCAACTGGGCATTCAAAGAAAAAAAGGATGAGTCCGTGGATGAATCCCGCTGGGCCGGGGGCTCGGGAGCAGCCACCGAGCAAGGTCCCTCCCCAGGTGTCCCCCCCCCCAAAACCTGATACACACACACACACGGCAGCTCTGGGGGGGCTGCCCCCCAGCCCCGGGGCCCCAGCACGCACTGGTGGGGGAAGCGGTGTGATGGGAGGGCAGCGAGCACCCCATCCTCCTCGGGGGGGGCACCGCAGCCCCATTTGGCCCCCAGCCTGTCCCAGGCACTGGGGGCTCGGCGAGGGGGTGCGGGGGAAGGCATCCCTGTGTCCCCCCCCCCCCCCTTCACATGACGGAGCAGCTTTTTGCCTTCTCCTTCTTGAAGGCGGAGGAGATGAGCTCGGAGCGGCTGGGCAGGTGCAGGAGTCTCTTGGAGAGGCTTCGTGCGGGACTTTTGGGGGGCTGCGGGGGGGCTTTGCTGAGGCAGATGCCGGACACGGTCCGGAAGATGCTGTGGACGCTTTTCTCCGAGGTGAAGGCCGAGCACTCCAGGTAGCTCTCGGCTCCCAGCTGCTTGGCCATGGCGCAGCCCTGCAACCCAACGCGGCGTCAGGCCGGCACGGCACCCCAAAAACACCCCCCTCACCCCATCCCAGAGCCCCCCCCCCCCCCCCGACCTGCTCATAGGAGATGGGTGCCTGCTTCTGATGGGAGAGCTCCATCAGCGTGCTCAGGTCCGTCCGCAGGTCTGTCTTGCAGCCGATGAGCAGCACCCGCGTGCTGGGGCAGTAATCCAGGATCTCCGTCTTCCACTGCGGGGCACGGAGCTGGCATCAGTTGAGGGAACCCCGGGGTAACCCCAAAACACCCCCCTAACCCCCCATTTTCTAGGATATAGGGAAGCGGGGGAAGAAGGCACCCACGGGGACCGGGTGACCCCCACCTTCTTGGATGCGCTGTCCAGGGTTTCGGGGCGGCTGATGTCGAAGCAGAGCAGGACGGCGTCCGAGTCGCTGTAGCAGAGGGGCCGCACGTTGTCATAGTAGGGGGAACCTGCGGGGAGAAGGGGGTGTCACCGCACTGCCACCCCCCCCCCCATGAGGCCACATGCAGTCCTAGAGGGTTTCCTTCCCCAAAAAATGCCTCCGGTGCTCCCCCCCACCCCACTGAAGTCCCCATCGCCCCTAACGAGGCAGCAGCAAACGGATCCCGCGGCATTTATATAACGGCCCTGCAGCAGCCGGGGGTGTGTGTGGGGGGGGGGGGGCAGCCAGGACCGGGGCGGGGGGGGGGGGCAGCTGCCACCCCCACGGGGTCCCCGGGGAGCCAAGGCCACCGGCACCATGCGGGGGACAGCTGGGGGAGGGGGCTGCGGGGGTGGCAGGGTGCTCCCTTGGGATATGGGGGAGGCCCGGGTGCCCCCCCCCCCCCCGCGTTGTGTCCCCCCCCCATCCCGACCCCAAAAGGCCTCGGAGGGGTTTTGCAGCCCAGACGCTCCGTGCGCGGAATAGCAAAGAGGCTGCGCCAGCGCATCGCCATGGCAACGCAGGGATGGCGGGTGGTGGGGACCCCCCCTTCAACCGGGGGGGGGGACACACTGCAGCACCAGGGCAGGGCTGTCCCGCACCCCCCCACATAGCCCGGACACCCCCCCCACAGCCCTTTGGGGATGCCCAGGGGGAGGGCGATGCCAGGACCCACCATTATCCCCCCCCAAAAATCCCCCAGGGATGATGTGGGGGGGGGCGGCTCTGGACCTGGAGGGGGGGGTCCTAGGAGTGCTCAGCACCCCCCCAAACAGGACCTAGCCCTGCCTTTCCCCCACCCTATGTCAGTGCCTTCCCACTGAGCCAGCCCCCAGGGACCCCCCCCCCAAATCCCTCAGCCCCCAGAATTAGGGCAACCCCAGCCAACCTCCCCCCCCCGCTATGTCCCCCCCCCCCCCCCCCAAAACCGCAGCATCCCCACTGCGGGGCTGCCTCTGCCGCAGCCCCTTCTGCCGCCCCCCCCCCCAGCCCCAAAACCTCCCTCCCCCCCCAAAAAAAACGCCCCCCCGCGCGGGGCCGGAGCTGCCCCCGCTCCGCAGCGCTCCCCCGGTACGCCCCAGCTCCCGGTACCGGAGGAGCATTTATCGCCCCCCCCCCCACCCCCCCCGGTACATGACCGCCCCCTCCCGGTACCGGAGGTGTCCCAGAGGCTCAGCTCCACCCGCTGCTCCTCGCTGACCAGGCAGGCCGTGTAGTTCTCGAACACGGTGGGCACGTACGTCTGCAACGGTACCGGCACGGTCAGCGCCCGGTAAACGGTGCCCGGTAAACGGTGCCCGGTAAACGGTGCCCGGTAAACGGTGCGAGGCTCACCTCGGGGTAGCAGTCCTTGGCCAGCACCTGCAGCATGGCCGTTTTGCCGCACTGCACGTCGCCCACCAGCACCAGCTTGCACCGAGCCGGTGCCGCCGCCGGCGGTCTCCGTTCCCGCATGGCGGCGGCAGCGCGAGCGGAGCCCACCCCGCTCCCACCCGCCCGCCAACCCCGCGCCCGAGCCGCCGCAGCGCCTTTATATACCCCCGCCGCCCGCCGCGCCCCGCCCACGGCGGCTCCCGCTAGCCAATCGCTGTGGAGGCGCCCGGGATCCCGGCCAATAGAGAAGCGTCGGATGGCAGCGTGGCCACGCCCCCTGGACCGCCAGGGCGCTCCTCCGAGCTAGGGGGCGCTCTTCCGCCCGAAGCCCCTCGGTTCCCGGAAGTGGGGCCGGGCCGGACAGGAAGTGGCGGTTGCTAGGAGACCGCTGCGACGCCGGCGGCGGGGTCGGGGGCGTTGGGAGGCCGCAGCCGGTACCGGGACCGCGCCGGGGGCGGGGGCGGGGGGGGGCACCATGCCGGTGGCGGGGGAGGACCGGCTCCTGCAGCTGCAGAGCCAGGCGCTGGCCGAGGAGGAGGCGGCCAAGGCGAGGGGGGAGCTGCTGGTCAGGTTCCTGAAGGTGAGGGAGGGGCACGGGGGGGGGGGGGGCGGGGGGGGTCTTGAGGGGGTCGCGGGGGATCGGGGGGCCCAGGGGGTCTCGGGGGGTTCTCAGGGGGTGGCCTGGGGGGGTCCTGAGGGTATCCAGGGGGGTCCCTGGGAGGTCGAGGGGGGTCCTGGGGGGTCCCAGGGGGGTCTGGTGGGGGGGGGGGATCCCGGGGGAGGCCCGAGGGAGTCCTGAGGGGGGGGGGTCCAGGGGATCCTGGGGGTGTCTCGGGGGGGATCTGGAGGGGGTCCCCGGGAGTGGCCTGGAGGGGACCCGGGGAGTGCCAGGGGGGTCCTGGGCGGATCCAGGAGGGGTCCCGGGGGGTCTGCAGCTCACGTCCCCCCCCCCCCCCCCCAGGACAAGCTGGCCAAGGAGGAGCGCAGCAGCGCCCTGAGCCTCCACAAGCTCAGCGCCCAGTGGCGGGGGGTGCTGCGGGAGGTGAAGGAGAAGGAGCTGCGCGAGGACATCGCCGTGCTCAGCCAGGCCTTCGCCCGGGTGCTGGACTGCAAGGACAGCGTCATCAAGGTGAGCGAGGGGCTGGCGGGCGGGGGGGGGGGGGGGGGCACCGTGCCGGGACCCCCGGCGTGATGCCCACCCCCCGCTGCAGTCCCTGGTCACAGACGTGGAGGAGGCGGAAGCGCAGCACGCCCGGGCGCTCGGCAGCCACCTGCAGAACATCGAGCGCCTGCTGCAGCTTCAGCGCTGCCGCCTGGCCTGCCTGCAGGAGGGATTCGACGCCCAGCTGAAGGCCCTGGAGGCCGAATTTGAGACGGAGAGGTATCGAGAAGGGGAGGGGGACAGCAGTGGTACCTGTTGGGTGTCCTGCTGGGTGCTGAGCCCGCTCCCGGCCTGATCCCGACGGCTGTGGCTGCTCTTGGCGCGTCCTCGCCTCCGTCCCGTGCTGCTCTCAGCAGCTCCCCGGTGATTTCCCCCCAGGAAAGCCATCCTGGAGCAGCACGAGGAAGAAATCCGCTACCTGCAGGACGTGGTGCTGGCCCTGGAGCAGAACTACGCCCAGGACGATCACGAGGCCACGCTGAATTTCCAGAGTGCCCGGGACGACATCAAGAGCAAGGCACGAGGAACCGGCCGGGCTCTTCAGCATCCCACCGAGTAGCTGGCTCTGTCGAGGAGGTTTTTAGGGGTCAGGAGAACACAGTGGGGTCCGGACAGCTGAAGGGAACCCGCTGCTCTCTGTCCCCAGAGCCTGCAGGAGAAGCAGTACAGCCGCCTGCAGCAGAGTGGGAAGATGGAGGCGCTCTGGGAGCAGTTCCATGCCGCCATGCAGAGCTACGCCGAGGCCACCGAGCACCAGAAAACGGCCTTCGAGGGGCTGAAGCAGAAGGATGAGAAGAGCTCCAGGGAGATAGAGATGCAGGCAAAGAAGCTGCAGAAACTCCAGGTGGTGCCAAAGGGCGGGTGGGGGCCCCAGGAGCAGGGACACCCCGTCCTGTCCTGCTCACGGCTCCTCTGCCTCTAGGATTTGGTGGCGGCCACCAAGGCTCGGCTCGCGGCTCAGCTCCGGGACAACGAGGAGCGGAACCGGCGCGCGCGGGAGGAGAAGGAAGCCGTGCTCAGGCAGCTCCAGGAGCTCAAGAACAAAATGAACCAAGCCCGGGCTGAGGCCCACGACAACCTGGCCAGGCTCACGGCGCAGAGCAACGCCGCCCTGAAGGCGCTGGCACAGGTTGTGGAGAAGGTGAGGCCGGGACCACCCCTCATGAGGCCTGGGGTGCCACCGTCCCCTCTCCCTGCCCCTTTTTCTCCTTCCTCCTCGCAGGCAGAGCGCGTCCTGCGGCTGGCCGAGATGTGCCGCCGGCTGGAGACGGAGGTGGAGAAGGTGCTGCCCTTCTACCCGTCCTCGCTGGCCGAGGGGGAGCTTTTTGACGCCGACAGGGTTCTCAAGGAGGAACCTGCGGAGCCTCTGGCCCAGGTGAGGAGGCTGCGGTGGGCTCCGAGGGACAGAGGTCCCTTGGGGGCAGCCTGGCTCGCTCACGGGCAGCTCCAGGAGCCGCTGCCCTTCTCTCCCTGCCTCTCTCCCAGGCCCTGCAGGATTACGTGGGGCTGGAGCGCTTCTGGCAGCGCTTCAACAAGGCGAGGCTGGAGGAGCAGGCGCTGGCGCGGGAGCGGGCGGCCGCGAGCCACCAGAACCAGCGGCTGCGGGGGCTGCTCCAGCAGTACCTGGAGGGGCTCTCCGTCAGCCCCGAGGTGCTCAGCAAGCCCAACCCACTGCTGGCCATCGAGCACAAGAGCCGTGTCCCCCGATTCCCCCCCAGACCCCGTCCCCAGCTCTGACGGCACCGGCTGGAGCTGAGAATTGGCCTAACTGTCCCGCGGAGCGGGGTGCCTGGTGCTCGGGGGCACCATGAAGCTGACATAAAAGAGCTAAACTGTGCCCAAAACATCTTCCGGGTCTTATTTCTGGTCACGCAGAGCTTTGTTGGATGAGCTCAGTCCTGTCAGTGCCCTCTCAGCTCCGAATTTTCTGCTCCTTGGCTCGACCGCGTCCCAAGGCAGGCGGGGAGCGCCAAGCTGGGGGCGCTGAGCCCCCCTCTCTCTGCTCTTATCCCCCCCACACACACCCCTTGAGGCAGACAGAGCAGGCGCAGAGCATCTGTGGCTACCGAGGGGAGGTTTTATTTCTTTTTGGCTTTGTTCCTCTTCTCCTCCTTCAGCTTCTTCTTGGAGAGCTTGGGGCTGCTGGCCTTGCGGTAGAGGTGGTACCCGATGAGCCCCAGCAGCGCCGGCACCAGCCCGAGGCACAGCAGCGGCAGGACCTCGTTCACCACCTTCTGCCAGTAGCTGGCCCGCGACAGAGCCACCAGCTCCACCTCGAACCGCAGCACCGCGTCGCCTGCGGGGAGAGGGGCGACGGCGCCTCAGCAGGGCTTTTTTGGGGGGCTACGGGATCCCCCCGGGGGGGCTGCACTTACCGGGGATGGTCGGTGGGGAGCCCCGCTTGCCGTAGGCCAGGTGCGGGGGGATGGTGGCTCTCCGCTTCTCCCTGCCCCGGTGAGAAGCCGTCAGCCCCAAAACCCGCTCCCAAACCCCACCGGTGTCCCCCCAACACAGGGGACAGCGCTGGGGACACCGCCCTCACCCCGCCACCGGCCTTACCCCACACACATGTCCAGCAGACTCTGCTCCAGGCCTGCGAGGAGAGAAGGCAGGGGGGTGTGAGCGGGACCCCAGACTCCATTTTTATCCCCCCCCCCCCAGTCCCCCAAAACCAGCGCTCACCGGGGATCACCTGGCGCTTGCCCAGCTCCACCTGCAGCGGGTCGCGGCTCAGCGAGGTGTCGATGATGCGGCCGTCCTCCAGGCTGCCCTGCGGCCACACGGGGACGGGGACGGTCACCGGGGGGGTGGCAGGGGGGGCTCTGCCCCGGGGTTGTCCCCATGCGGGTCCCGGTGCTGCCCCGGGGTCATCCCTGTGCCGGCACCGACCCTACCCCACTGCCACTCACTGCCACGCTGGTGCTGGTCCGAGCCCCCCCCAGTGCCACCCCCATGCTGTGGTGAGGGCTGACCCCAGTGCCTCCCCTATACTGGACCCAGTGCCCCCCAGAGACCCCCCCAGGGACACCCACACCGCTCCCAGTGCCAGCACCGGGGCTCCCCAGGGCGGTCCCCACCCGGTGCCACCCGGTGCCACCTCGATGCCCCCCCCGTGCCCATCCCGATTCCAGCCCCGTTCCCACTCCAAGCCCACCCCGCAGCGTTCCCGGTGCCCATCCCGGTGCCGATCCCGGTGCCGATCCCGGTGCCGGTGCCTCCCCGGTGCCGCCCCCCGGCCCGCCCCCCCGCCCCCCCCCTCCGGAGCGCAGTGCTGACGTGTTCCTCGCCGCCCGCACCGTGTAGTGGATGTGCACCGTGTCCCCCAGCGCCGACAGCTCCGTGCAGCCCTCGGGGGGCGCCACCTGTAACGGGGGGGGGGGGTTGGGGGGTCACGGGGCGGTGGGGCCGGGACCCCTCCCCAAAAGTCCCCCCCCACGTGGCCCCGGCTCCACGGGACCCCCCCCCTCACCCCGGGACCCGCTCAGCCCCACGTGCCCCGGGAGCCCCCGGGAGCTCTGCGCAACCGGGACCCCCCCCCCCCGCCCCGTGCCCACCCGGTGGCGCGGACACAGCTCCCCGGTGTCCCCGGTGTGTCCCCCCGGTGCTCCCGTTAACCCCCAACCCCCCCGCCCCGTCCCGTCCCGTCCCGTTCTCTCTCCCCCTCCCCCATATCCCCGGTCCCTCCCCGTGCCCCCGGTCTCCCCCGTTCCCCCCGGTACCCCCCGGTTCCCCAGCTCCCCCGTGCAACCGGGGCCGCCCGGTGTCCCCCGGTTCCCTCCGGTGCTCACGAGCGTCTCCAGGCGCAGCCCCCGGGCTCCGCTTTCGGTTTCGCTCTCGGTAGCGGCGGCGGAGGGCAGGAGGAGGGCGAGCAGCAGCAGCGCGGCGGGGGGCGGCATGGTCGGGGCTGGCGGCGGCGGCGGCGGCGGCGGCGGCGGCGGCGGCGGCGGAGGTACCGAGCCCGCCCCGCCCGGCCCCGGGCACTCCCAGGACCCTCGGGGCGCCGCCTCCCGGCCCCGCTGCCCCGCCCCCGGTCGACACCGGGGCTGCCCCGAGCCCGGACCGGGGATGAACCCCCCCGGGGGAGCCCCCGGTACCGGGGATTCCCGTCGAGTCCCGGTACCGGGGGTGGCCGTCGAGGCGCTCCCGCTCCGGTGCGCATTCCCGGGACCGCGCAGCCGGTGGGGAGGGGGGGACAGCCCCGAGCCCCCGGTGGTCCCGGGGATGCCCCTGGGTTTGTCCCCCCCCATGCCCCCCCCAGCACCAGGGGACACGCGTCCGTCCCCGTTCAGTGCGGGGGGGCTCCGGTCACCGGCTGGTGAGGTCCCGGTGTCCCGGCGCCGTACGGCCCCGGTGCCAGCAGGCGGCAGCAAAGCCTGGGGAAACCGGCACACGGCACCCCCCCCCCCCCCAAAAAACCCCTCCCGGTGTCCCCCCCCCCCGGGGGGCTCAGCACCCCTCCGGGCACACGAAGCATCCCTCCAGCTGCACGCACACACAGCCCCCCAGCACCCCCATAGCGCGCACCGGGCGGGTGGGACCCCCCAAAAAAAACCCCTCCGGTGGTCCTGGGGGAGCCACGGGGCTTGGGGCTGAGCTGCCCCCCCAAAAAATGTCCTCACGTCCCCATGCCCACGGGACACCATCCCCAGGTGAGGGGCACGCGAGGGGGGCAGCTCCAACACGGGGGCATCCCGGTGGGCCTGGTTAGCAAGGGCAGCCCCTCTCGGGGAGGGGGGGGCAACACTAATATTTGGGGGGGGGCCACATGCATGCCTGGGGCATCCTGGCCCCCTTTTCCCATTCTGGTGTCAGCGGCCCCGCTGGCAGCGGTGCCGGCGCAGGCCCCGGTGCAGCTCCCGGGTGACGGCATCGGCACGCCGGCCCCGCCGCGGCACCCACATACCAGCCCCGGTTGCCGAGAGGTGGCGAAGCCGGGCTGGCGGCTCGGGGGCCGGGAGCTAATGGGATTAGGGCCGGGGGGTCAGCACGGGGCTGGCCTCCGCCAGACAAAGCCGCCGGCACGGCCGGTGGGAACGCGCCGGTGTCGGCTCCGGGCTGGGGGTGCCGGCTGCCCACGCCCCCACCGCATCCCATCCTCAGCGGGGACCCCGGCCCTATAGCTCCAGACCCCGTCCCGGAGGAGCCCCGGTGTCCGGGGAACCCACACGGCAGCCCCGTGCCCCCCACAGCGGGGTGGTGACACCCCCAGACTCACGGGGACACGGGGACGAGGACAGCGGCGTTGGCAGCAAGGAAGACTCCGAGGAGCCCCTGGCCCAAAGTGGGGGGGACACCGGGGGGGGCGCAGCCCCACTCGTACCCAGCCCAGCGCTGGCACCGTCCCCACACCCCGGCCGGGATTAACGCTAATGGGATTTACCGTTTCATCCCCTATTCCCTTAAAGATGGGCCTGGGAAGGGGGGGATCCCCTCCCCGCCCCCCCACTGGCCCCCCCCTCACCCCGCTAAGCTCTTTCTAATTAAAACCAGCCCAGGGCTGTCCATCACCGGCCCCCTCCCCAGGTCCAGGCGTTCATCCTCCCCCCCCCCCCATCACCGTGGGGGCTGCGGAAGAAGAGCCGTGGGGCAGCGCTACATAAAACATGTTTAATATCCAAGGGGGGGGGCAGGGGTCACCCAGCGTCTCAGGCGTGGGGGGGGGCAAGTACACACGTCCCCGGACGGGGCAGAGCCGCAGCGACACGTCACACCAAGCACAGACCAGGGGTATAAATACAGTGCCGGGGAGGGGGGGGGCGGGGGGCTACAGTACGGGGCCGTCCGTCCGTCCGTCCGTCCGTGAGGGGCAGGGACATACAATCACTATGCTGGCATGGGGTGGGGGTGCAGGCGGCCGGGGGAGAGGGCACAGCCGCAGGGACCGCCCCGTTCCCCCCCACACACACCCCGGGGGTCGCGCCGCGGGGAGGAGACCTGCCTCGAAGTGACATCGGGGGGCTGGGGACGTGTGGGACCCCCGGGTGGGGGGGGGGGCATACGGGGCTGGGAGACGTTCTGGGGGTGAAGGGTGGTCCCAATGTCCCCTCCCCACAAGGCCCCGCTGCCCCCACGCCTGCCCTGGGGGCCCCCACATTTGGTCCACAGGAAGGGGATGGGGGACGGGGACATGCACGGGGAGGGGGACGGGAACGAGGCGCCCCAGCACGCCCCCGACCCTGCGTGGGCCCCTTCCCTGTCCCCCTCCCCAGGGCTCTGCCCCCGGCCCCAGCAGGGGGGGGCCCCCGGCCCCCCAGATACTTTATATATAGATATATTTCCACGCACGCACACACGAGATCCGAGGGGAACCGCGAAGACCCCAGAGAAAAGAGGCAAAACCCCACAGCAACCGGTGCCAGAAGAAAGCAAAACCCAACCGGGGCGGGGAGGGGGCGGCCGGGGGCGCAGGGAAGGGGTGGCCCCGGCCGGCCAGGGGGGGCCTGGCAAAGCCCCCGGGGGTTTGGGGGGCCGGGTGGGGCGTGCGGGGAGGGGGGGCCGGGGCCGGCGGCCGCCTGCTCACTTCTTATTTTTGAGCTGGTTGGCGAGCCAGTCGAGACCCTCGTAGAGCCCGTCCCCGCTGGTGGCACAGGTGGCCTGGATGTACCAGTTACGGTGGCGCAGGGAGTGCAGCCCCAGCTTGTCCGTGATCTCCGCCGCGTTCATGGCGTTGGGCAGGTCCTAGGGAAGAGGTGGAGGGGTTATAAGGGGGGGTCATGCACCCCCCCGTGACGCCATGGGGATGGGTACCGGCTGTGTGGCCAACGCCAGCCCCGATGCCGCGAGGATGGGCGCAATTTCCAGCGTCTCCGCTCCTGGTGCGGAGACATTGGGCACGGATTTGCCACGGGGGGGGGCAAATGAAACCCCACGGGGGTTAAATGGAAACCCCGACGCCGTGGGGACAGGCACGGCCCCGCCACAGGAGCTCACGGCCCTGATATTGAGGGGGTGGGCACGGATCCGCTGCAGGGGGCTGCTAAAACACCACCCCAAATATCTCGGGGACGGGCACTGTCCTGCCACGGGTGTCACTGGGTACCGGCCCCGATGTCACCGGGGTGGGCACGGTCCTGCCACGGGGGGGGACGACCCAGACACCCGGGGATGGTCCCAGCCCCACCTGCTTGTTGGCGAAGACGAGGAGGACGGCGTCCCGCAGCTCGTCCTCCGCCAGCATCCGCATCAGCTCCTCCCGCGCCTCGTTCACCCGCTCCCGGTCGTTGCTGTCCACCACGAAAATCAGCCCTGGGGGGCAAGACGAAGACACCCCCAACGGTGCTGGGAGCTCAGGATGCGGCCATTCCCGGGACACCCCTGCTTTCTGCGCACCCCCCATGGCCCCGTGCGCCCCCCACGGCCCCGTGCGCCAACGGCCCCGTGCGCCCCCCACAGCCCCGCTTTCTGTGTGCCCCCCACGGCCCCGTCCGTGCCCCCCACGGCCCCGCGGGGACCTACCCTGGGTATTTTGGAAGTAGTGCCGCCAGAGGGGCCGAATCTTATCCTGCCCACCCACGTCCCACACGGTGAAGCTGATGTTCTTGTACTCCACCGTCTCCACGTTGAACCCTGGCGGGGAGCAAGAGACGAGGAAAACTCAGGGCAACCCCATGGGGGGGGGGAAGATCCCAGCTGGGGGAAACTGAGGCAGCCCCAGCTCCGTGCCCCCCCCAGCGCCCACCGATGGTGGGGATGGTGGTGACGATCTCGCCCAGCTTGAGCTTGTAGAGGATGGTGGTCTTGCCGGCGGCGTCCAGCCCCACCATCAGGATCCGCATCTCCTTCTTCCCGATCAGGCTCTTCAGCAGGTTCCCGAAGATGTTGCCCATGGTGACGGCGGCGCTGCTGACGGCGAGGCCAAATCCTGCAGGGGCACAGGGCGGGCGCTGGGGACAGGGGTGGCCCCCCCACCCCCCAAAAAAAAAAAAAAACAACCCCTGGGGGGGCTGCGTTGAGCCCTAGATCCTGGGTAGAGGTGGGCTGTGCTGCGGGGTTTAGGGTGGGGGCCAGCGCCAGGGTCCCCCTTGGGGCCGTGCAGCCCATTGGGGTTGCCCGTGCGCAGATTTTTTTTTGGGGGGGGGGGGTTGTTCTGGGGGTGTGCCCCCCCCCCCCCAATGCACTGCCCTACAGTGGGGCCAAGCCAGGGCACCCCACGGAGGGAAACTGAGGCACGGGGCTGGCTCCCTGCCCAAATTATAGGGGGGGTCCCCCACGCCCCCCCCTCACGTGCACCGCCCAGCCCTGCAGGAGCCCTGAAGCAAGCAGGGGGGGCCCAGCCCACCCCCCCAACGCCCCCCCCACACCGATGGGGCCGCCCCCAGCCCCAGCCCCCCCCCCCCAGCATCTTCTGCCCGCCCCCAGGGGGGCCCCGCGCCGCCCCCTGCACACCCCCGCGCCCCCCCCGCGGCACCGACCCCCGCCCCGCGCCCCCCCCCCAGGCCCTGCCGCCCCCCCCGGTGTGTGCGTGTGTGTGTGCGGGGGTCGCTCCCCCCCCCCCGCATTGCGCCCCTCCAACGCACCGCCCCCCGCATTCCCCCCCCGGAACCGCAACGCGGCCCTAAAACGCTGCGCCCCCCCCGCATCACCCCCCACCCCCGCACCGTGCCCCCCCCCGGTGCTGCACCTCCCCGAGCGCTCCTCACGCCCCCCCCCCATCACACCGCGCCCCTCCCCGGTCACCGCATCACCCCCCCCCCAGCCTCAATACCCCCCCTCCATTACGATGCCCCCCCCCCCCATTCACTTTGCATCCCCCCCCCCGCACTGCGCCCACCGGTGCACGGCGCCCCCCCCCCGCCCCCTCCATCCTCCTCCTCCTCCTCCTCTTCCTCCCACGCTGCGCCCCGCTGCGGGCAGCGCCCCTTCCCCCGAGGGGAGGGGGGGGGGGAGGAGGGAAAACGGCCCCGCCGCGCCCCCCCCCCGTCGAGCCCCGCACCTGGAGCCGGTGCCGGTGCCGGTGCCGGTGGCGCCCCCGCCCGCAGCTGACTCTGCACCGCTCCCGCCGCCGGAAGCGGAGGCCCGAGCGCGCCGATCTCGCGAGAGCTCCCGGTTCTCCCCCCCCCCCCCGTTTTTATTTTTTTTTTTAAATTTCCCCCCCCCCCCCCCACAGCCACCCCCCAATATCGGCCCCGGGAGGTGGGGCGGGGGGGCGAGGGGTCCCGGCCGTTTCCATGGCAGCGGATGCAGCAGCGCGGGGGGGGGGCTTGCATCGAGGGGGGGGGTGATGGGGGGCACGTCGGGGATGGGGGGGGCGTGGGGGGGATCTGGCGGTGCAGGGGGGCGTCGAGGGTGCACGGGAGGGGGGTCCTGGGGAGTGCATGGAGGGGGGGGGGCCGTGTGGCCGGTGCTGGAGGGGGCGTCCCGGTGCTACCGGGCACCGGTAAAGTCCCGTCGAGGGACGGGACGGGACGGGACGGGACGGGACGGAGGGGATGGGACGGGATGGAGGGGATGGGACCTAACGGGACGGGACGGGACCGGACGGGGTGAACGGGACGGGACCGGGCAGGACGGGACGGGATAGAACGGGACGGGATGGGACGGGACGGGACCGGGTGGGATGGGATGGGACGGAGGGGACGGGACCTAACGGGACGGGACGGGACGGGATGGGACGGGATGGGACGGGATGGGACGGGACGGGACGGATGGGACCGGACGCGCGGCTCCTTCCCAGCCCGGGCCCCGGCTCCCCTCCGCCCCGGCAGGTAAGGCCGGGACACCGGGAGCACCGGGAGCACCGGGAGCACCGGGAGCCCCGACGGCTGCAGGAGCCGCCCCGCGCTGCCGGGCTCCCGACAACGCCCCGGGAAGGGGCGGGGGTCCCGAGCACCGCCCCCCGGTGCCACCGGCTGGGGGGAGGCAGAGGGGGGAGCCCCGGGAGGGCGGGGGGGGGCAACGGGGACTTGATGGGGGGGGGACCGGGAACGGGGAAAGGGAGAGGAGAGAGGGTGTGGGGGGAACCGGAGGCAGCACGGGGATGAAGGGTTCGGGGACGGGGGGGGCGCAGTGGGAGACCTCCAGAGCAGCCCCCCCCCCGGTATAACGGGGATGGAAGGGGGGGGGTCGGGCCCCACCGTTGGTGGCACGGCCCCGGGCAGGGCCCTCCCGGCCGCGCCCCGGGGCCTCCCCGCGGCCGCTGACCTCAGCCCCCGGGAGCCCCGACGGGGCGGCGGCCCGAGGGCGCGCCCACCGCTTGGCCCGGCCACCGCCCGACCGGGGGCACCTGCACCGGGGGAGCCGGCGGGATGGGACAGCGGGGAGAGGGAGGGAGGGACGGGGGGGGGGGGGCGTTTGCGCTCTGGGGGGGGTCCCCAGTACCCGAACGGGGACCGGAGATGGGGGGCGGGGGGCAAGGGGAGAGGGTACCGGGAGCCCCCGCAGAGCCAGGGCAGCCCCTCCCGGCACGGGGAGGGGGATGGAAACGAGGAGGGAGGGAGGGGGCCGGTACCCTACCCCCGGCTGGGGTGCAATGGGGAGGGGGGGTCCGTGTCCCCCCCCCCCCCCCGCGGCCCCAGGCTTTGTCCGGGCTTTAATTGGAAGTGTCAGAGGGGTGCGGGCCGTGACGGGCCGAGCGGGGCTAATCCAGCCCTCCGCATGACTGGTCCGGGGAAACCGCGGCCGGGGGGATTAAGCGCCCCCCCCCCCCGCTCCCTTCCGTGCCCCCCCCCTCCACAAAAGGGGCTCCCAGAGCGGCTCAGCCACCACCCCCGGGTGGGGGACAGCGGGGACAGCGCCTTGGCCCTGCCAGAGCCACGAGGTGGCACCCCCCGGGCACCCCCGGGCACACCACGCCGCCCCCCACGCCCCCCCCCAGCCCCCTCTCGCCCCGTGTCCCTCCGTCCCCTGCTCCTTCCTCTGCCCCCCGACGTGAGGGGCCGGGACGCCCCCACGGGGCTGCAGCCCCCCGGGTGCCCACGGCCGTGTTCCTGGGGGACGGGGTCGGTGTCCGGGACAGCTCCGGGTACGCACCGGGACAGGGCTCCGCGGGCACCGGAGCGGCCCCGGGGCGGTCCCGGCCCCGCGTCTCCCACCCCAAAAATATCGGGGGTCCCGGGCCGGCGTCCTCGGGCTGTCCCGAGCTGTCTCGGGTCTCTGCTCACCCCGTGTGCCCCGAGCTGCCCAGGGTCTCTGCTGTCCCCATGTGCCCTGGGACTGTCCCGGGCTGTCCCGGCTTCTCCAGGGCTGTCCCGGGTCTCCGCTCTCCTCGGGCGCTCGGAGCTGTCCCGGGAATTCCCGGCTCTCCACTCCCCCGTGTGCCCGAGGCTGGCCCAGGAAATCCCGGGCTAACCCGGGTCCCCGCTCCCTCCGCGCGCCGGGAGCTGTCCCGGGTTGTCCCGGGACTCTGCTCCCCCCTTGCGCCCGGAGCTGCCCCGGCCCGGCCCGGGACGCCGTTCCCCGTTCCCCCCCGCCGGTGCCGGTGCAGCGGGAGCGCGGAGCCGGGCGGGGGGCGTTCGGGGGCAGCCGGGGGGGGCCCGGCCGCGCTGTCGGCACGGGGTCGGGCGGCGGCGGGCCGGGACGCAGCCACCCGCCGGGCTAATCCGGGCCGTGACGGACAGGCCCGGCGCCGCCGCTCCGGCCGCCCCATAAGAGGTGCCGCGGCTCCGCCGCTCCCCATTGTTAGGGCGAGGACGCGGGACCGGCCCATGGGGACCCTGCGCGCCGCCCCTATAAGAGGGAAGGGGCTGGAAGATGCTCCCGGGTGCTGAGCGCTGCGCACCCGCCGAGCCGAGCCGAGCCGCGCCGCGCCGCCACCCCGGGGAGCCGCCGAGCACCGGCACCGGGCACCGGGCACCGCGCACGGGCCGCCCGACGCCGCGCGCCCGGGGCCCCGGGCACCGGCCCCGGTGCCGGTGCCGGTGCCGCCCGCTCGGCGCTGTCCGCGGCCCCTCCGCGGCCGCCCTCGGCGGAGCCGCCCGCCCTGCCCGCGCCCCGCGCGTCCGGAAACACGCGTGGATGTAGCGGCCGGGCCGGGGGCTCCGCGGCACCATAAATACCCCGGCGGCCGCTCGCCCGCGCACTCTGCCGGGGCCTCCCGCGGCCGCCGGAGCCATGCGAGCCGCCGCGCTGCTGCTGGCCCTCCGCACGCTCTGGGCGCTGGCGTTTTCCTCCCTCTCCAACACGCTGGCGGTGAACAACAGCGGGCGATGGTGGTGAGTGCCCGCACCGGGACCGGGAAGGGAGCGGGGCTGGCACCGGCACCGGGTGGCCCCGCCGCTGTCCCGGCTCGCACGCCCCAGGGCTGCGGCAGCGCAGGTGCGCCCGGCTTGGGGGCAGCGCCCGGCACCGTCGGGGGGTCAGAGCCGCGACCCCCGCGCTGCCCCGGTGGGTGGGAGCGGTGGCACCGAGCCCCCGGTGCGGGGCAGGGAGCGGCGGGGGCTGCCCTCGGAGGAGGTGCCCCGGTGGCGGCGGGGAGCGGGGTGCCGGGAGCCCTGGCGTGAGCCCCGTGTGTGCCGCAGGGGCATCATCAACGTGGCCTCCTCCACCAACCTGCTGACGGACTCCAAGAACGTGCAGCTGGTGCTGGACCCCAGCCTGCAGCTGCTGAGCCGCAAGCAGCGCAAACTGATCCGCCAGAACCCCGGCATCCTGCACAGCGTCAGCTCCGGCCTCCAGACCGCCATCAAGGAGTGCAAGTGGCAATTCCGCAACCGCCGCTGGAACTGCCCCACCTCCCAGGGCCCCAACATCTTCGGCAAAATCGTCAACCGGGGTGAGCCTGCGGGGCGGCGGGAGGCGGCGGGGGGCTCCCCGCATCTCCCTGCGTGGGAGCACCCAACAGGTTCCCCGTGGGTTCAGCCGTCTCCCACCCGCCTGCCCCCAGCAGGGCGCTGCTGGGGCTGGGGGGCTCTGGGGGTCCCCGCAGCCCCTGAGGTCCCGCTCCCCTCTGCAGGCTGCCGGGAGACGGCGTTCATCTTTGCCATCACCAGCGCCGGCGTGACGCACTCGGTGGCCCGCTCCTGCTCGGAGGGCTCCATCGAGTCGTGCACCTGCGATTACCGGCGCCGTGGCCCTGGGGGGCCCGACTGGCACTGGGGGGGCTGCAGCGACAACATTGACTTCGGGCGGCTCTTCGGGAGGGAGTTTGTGGACTCCAGCGAGAAGGGCCGCGACCTGCGCTTCCTCATGAACCTGCACAACAACGAGGCCGGGCGCATGGTGAGGGCACCGGGGGCCTCGGGCAGTCCTGGGGTGGGGTTTGGGGCTGGGCATGGCTGTGGAGACCCCCAGCTCATCCCCCTGCATGGGTTGGAAACCACCAAGAGGTTTCCCAGTTGGCTTTGGGTGGGCTCAACATCGCCTAATACTGTGGGGACAGATCCTGCGGGGGCCCTGTTGCTGTGGGACCGCAGAGGTCCCAGGGTGGGGGGCGCAGGCTGCTCACGGCACCCTGTGCCCCCCTCTCCCCACAGACAGTCTTCTCCGAGATGCGCCAGGAGTGCAAGTGCCACGGCATGTCGGGCTCGTGCACCGTGCGCACGTGCTGGATGCGGCTGCCCACCTTCCGCGCCGTGGGCGACGTCCTCAAGGACCGCTTCGACGGCGCCTCGCGGGTCATCTACGGCAACAAGGGCAGCAACCGGGCCTCGCGGGTGGAGCTGCACCACCTGGAGCCCGAGAACCCGGCACACAAGCCGCCCTCGCCCCACGACCTCGTCTACTTTGAGAAGTCGCCCAATTTCTGCACCTACAGCGGGAAGATGGGGACGGCGGGCACGGCCGGGCGCTTCTGCAACAGCTCCTCGCCGGGGCTGGACGGGTGCGAGCTGCTGTGCTGCGGGCGCGGGTACCGCACGCGGACCCAGCGCGTCACCGAGCGCTGCAACTGCACCTTCCACTGGTGCTGCCACGTCAGCTGCCTGAACTGCACCAACACCCAGGTGCTGCACGAGTGCCTGTGAGCCCCCCGCGCTGCCCCAGAGGGGGTCTGCGCCGCCCCCATGACGGGTGCCCGCTTGGATGGAAGGCGCCCATGGGCGGGTGTGTGGCTGCGCCCTGGGACACCCCTACCCGGAGCAGAGCAGCCACCCCAGGGCCAGCAGCCAACCTGGGTGTCCAGCGCCGCGCGTGGTCACGGCTGCCCCCGGCCCCTGCTGGCTCCGCGGGGTTTTCTTCTCGCTGTAAATAAAATATTTATTGTGGACGGTTTGATGCCGGGGCTCCCCACTCGCCCCGCGCTTCGCTGGCCCCAGGCCCTGTTTTTTTATAATTACAGATAATAATAATTAATAATAATAATAATAATAATGCTTTGTTACAGGTGTCACTGATAGCCTCTAGAGAAGAATAAAGGATATATTTTTATCAGTCCTGCCCCGTTTTCTTTCAGGGGTTCCAGGGTGGGAGGGGAGCAGCAGTTTGAGGAGCAATGTCCCCCAAACCGCCCCCGCTGGCCAACCTACCCCTGCCTCCCTCCTCATCCTCCACCACCCATCCCCTGTCCATCAGTCCCTCTGTCTGTCCGTCCGTCCATCCCACGTTCCCTTTCCTTCTGCCCTCCCCAAGTGTTGGAGAGGGAGGGCCACCCTCCCCTTCCTTTCTCCCGCCGTGCCCCGTCTCCATCCCGGCTGTCCCTGCCGTGGCGCCTGTCCCCACGGCCGTGGCGCCCATCACCATGGCACCTGGGCTGCAGCATCCCCGGCGCTGGAATTTGCCGGGCTGCCGGGGCTGGTGCCGCCGGGGCCAGGCAGCGGGAGCGGCCACGGGAGGTACAAGACGGCAGACAGGGAATGAGCATCGTCCATCACCGCTCCTGGCCAGGGCTGACGGCTCCCCTCGGCTCTGGGGGAGGAGGGGGGCCAGGGAGGGCACGGAGGTTACCGGGGCCAGGACCGTGGGGGCTGGCACCGGCCACTGGCCCTGCACCCGGTCCCACAGCCCTGCGTGGGGCTTGGCTGCAGCTGGAGTGGGAAAAGAGGTGGCAAAGGTGGGGCGCAGCTCCGTGGCTGGCAGGTCCCGAGCAGCAGGGGTACCCCGCTGGGACAGGCATCCTGCGGGGTGGGCATCCCCCTGGGGCAGGCTTCCCCCCCAGAACCAGGGGGGGAATCCCCTTGGGATCGGTTTTCCCCAGGGATAAGCATCCCGTGGGGGTGGGCATACCCTCAGGGTGAGCATCCACTGGGAAGAGCACACCCCGGGACGGGTTTCCCACCGGGACAGGTGCCCCCCCCCAGATGGGCATCCCCCCGGGACACGTCTCCCCTTGGGCTGGGCACCTCCCAACCACACAGAACCCAGTACCCACTGGGACAGGGCAGGGTGAAGCGCTAGGCTGCAAACCCTGTCCCCAATTAATTCCATCATTGGGGACACCACAGGGCCCCGACAAAATCCAGCCCCTGGGGAGGGGGCTGGGACCTGGCCCTGCTTGGGGACCCCCGGCCCTGCCAGCGCCAGCCCCCGGGAGGGTTCCCGCAGCCCCGGCTGCCCGGGGGCTGAAGCCGGGAACCTCGCGGGGCCCCGGGGAGTGCACATCAAAGGCTGCGGGCTGACTCCGCGGCCAGAAATATCCCCCAGGGCCGATAGTGGAAAAGTTGATGTTTAGACCGAAGGGAGGCGGGGGGGGAAAAAACCCCAGGGGCCCCGCTGTCCGTGCCAAGGTAAAAACACTGCCTGGCGTGGTAAAATAAAATAAAGAAACGCGAGAAAAAAAGGACTGGAAAGGAACACAGCCCGAAATAACCCTCCGAGCATCTCCCGCCTGCCGGGAGTTATCTGCCTGCTAAATTCTGCACACGCACAGGGCATGAAAATAGCCTGTTTTCCTGCGGTAGCGAGTCAGGAATATAGATAATGACATTCTTATAAGTCACCTCTGTTACTCAGCTTTTCCTGCGCGCCGGTGACCGCCGGGCACCTTGGGCAGCTGCGACCCCCGGGCAGGCAGGGGCACCCCGGGCGCGGGGCGGGTGCCCGGCTGCAGGGTGCAGACCTTGAACAAATACACCCGGCTGCTGGAAATAGCTCCCGGCGCAGCGCCGGGGCCGGCGCGGGGAAAGGGCGGCCCCGCCTCGGGCAGCCCGTCACATCTGGGAAGCCGGGCAACATCTGGGTGGCAGCCGCAAGCCGGACCTGCTGCCGGCGGGGGCCTGCAGGGACGGGGTGAAGCAGGCGTAAGGGTGTGCCCAGAGGTGCAGGACAGAGGGACAGGGATGGAACCAAAAGGTGCAGGACAGAGGGACACGGCTGTGCCCAAAGGTGAAGGACAGAGGGAGAGGACAGTGGTCAGATGCGCAGGACAGAAGGACAGGGACAGTGCCAAGAGATGTGAGACGGAGGGACAGAGCCGTGCCCAGAGGTTCAGGACAGAGGGACATCCCAAGAGATGTAGGACAGAGGGACAGGGCCGTGCCCAAAGTTCCAGGACAGAGGACAGAGACCAGAGGTGCGGGACAGGACAAGGACAGCCCCGAGAGATGCAGGACAGAGGGACAGAGCCGTGCCCAAGAGGTTCAGGACAGAGGGACAGCTCACTGCCCGCTGCAGGAACATCCCCATCCCCGTCCCCATCCCACGAGCCCGTGGCAGCCCCGTCCCGGCTCCCCCTCGCCCCGGGTGCTCGCGCCCGCGCCCCGCCAGCGCCCGGCTTGTCCGGCCGCCCCCCCCCCTCGGCCGCTGCATTCCTCCAGCGCGGGGCCAGCGCGCCCAGCAACCGTGGCAGGGCTGGCCTCTAATCCCCGGGCATGCCAGCCCCGGGGGGACCGTCGCCGTCACCCACTCCCCGATAGGTGACCAATGCCCGAGACGAACAATTAGGGACAAAGCCGGAGCCGCCGGGGGCTAACGCCGGCCTTCACGGGTGCCTTGTGCGGCATTCGGCGAGTTTAATGAATTGTCCATCACTCCTTTCAGCTCCGCTCGCCCGGGCTGGATTAATCTGAGAAGCCGCAGTGGGGTAGGAGCCGCTAAGCCTGTATTTATTACTCTTCCATTGTAACTAATTGAGGTAATTATCTGTGACTCCAACCCCGCGCAACAATGCCGCATTCACCGCACCCCCCCCCCCCCTCCCGCCAGCTCCTCCGCACGGCCTGGGAGAGCCAGCACCGTGGCCACCGCGCACCGGGGACAGGGCTGGCACCGTGGCCACCAAGCACCAGGGACAGGGCTGGCACCGTGGCCACCACACACTAGGGACGGGGTTGCCATTGCTGCCACCAGACATTGGGGTCACCGCTGGGACCTTTTGGCCGCTGCACGCCAGGGACACAGCTGGCACCGTGGGCACATTTGGTCACGGCTCCGCAGGGCCATGGCCAGCACGCGTGTGTCGTGCCACAGCTACCGCGTGGCCACGCGAGCCCTGGCGTGACCGGCACCGCAGGCACACAGTGGTCATGCGTGGGCCATGGCAGGGCCAGCACGACCCGGGGGGGGGTCACGGCTGCCTGGGGACATCGCTGGGACCAGTGTGTGCGTGGGACACGGCTCCCTGGGGGCCACTCGTGCGTGGCCACGTCTGTCCCTGGGGGTCCTGGCTGGGGTGGCACCGCCACGGCGATGCCAAGGGCAGGGTCCCACCGGTCCCCTCGCATCATTCCCTGCGCTTGGGCCGGGACCCCCGGTGCCCCCCCTATTTGTCCCCCCTCCCCGTCCTGCCTGTCACTGGCTGCGCTGCGACATCTGCCGGCAGCGGGGGGACGGCGCGAGGGGCCGGTGGGGTCCGAAGCAGCGGCTCGTTTCCTCAGGGTGGGGGGTTGTGGCAAGTGTCTGGGCAGTGGCGTGCACGGGAAGGGCTGTGGGACACGGGGGGTCGTGGGCACAGCTGAGATGGGCCGTGCCAAGGGGTACCAGGCTGTGCCAGGCAGTACAGACTGTGCTGAGCTGTGCCAGGCTGTGCCAAACCGTACCAGGCTGTGCCAAGCTGTGCCAAAATGTACCAAGCTGTGCCAAGCTGTGCCAGGCTGTGCCAAACCATGCCGGGCTGTGCCAAACCATGCCGGGCTGTGCCAAGCTGTGCCAAAATGTGCCAAGCTGTGCCAGGCTGTGCCAAACCATGCTGAGATGTGCCGGGCTGTGCCAAACTGCGCCAGGCTGTGGCGAGCTGTGCCAGGCTGCTGAGTTGTGCCAGCCATGCCAAGCTGTGCCAAGCCATGCCAAGGGACACCAGGCCGTCACCAAGCTTTGTTAATCCAAATGGGGCCATCCTGAGCCGTGCTGGGCCATGTGCGGGACCCCCCCCAGCCGTGCTGGCCACCTCGGGGCCCTGTGCCAGTGCGGGGGTGACGTGGCCTGGGACAGCCCCGTGTGCAGCCCCCCCCCGGGCGCCTGGGTCCCCCGCAGTGGCGGCTGCCCCGCGCCGTGACCTCCGGGCCGGTGTCACCAGGATAATGACAGGGTCGCGCAGGGGGGCGGAGGAGGAGCCGGTTTTTAAATAACGTGCAAATTGGACACGTTATTTCTGCGGTTTCCTCTGGCCACGGGGATCCTCCCCCCCCCCCGCAGCGTGACTAAGAGGTGGCGGCCGTCCTGGGGAGGGGGGGGGGGGAACGGTCCCGTCCCCCCCCCCGGTGACTCACCCGGGGTCCCCCCCCGGCCCTGACGTCAGTCCCGGGGCCATGGGCCAGCCCGAGGGCCGCCCTGGCGCAGGCACCTACTCATTATGGGGGACCCGGGAAGGGGGGGCCCAGGGGGGGCCATGACGCTTCGGGAGGCTGCAGGGGGTCCCCTGGGTCTGGGGGGCCACGGGGGGGATCCCAGGTCCTTGCTAGGGATGGGGACAGAGCCACCAGTGCAGGGAGGGGTGGGGGGGACACCTGCGGAGGGCGCATTTGGGGCCAGGTCCCCCCCCCCGGTTTGGGACCATTTTTGGGGCTAGATCCCCCCACTTTGGGGACTGAGTCCCCCCATCCCCACGCACGCAAGGGGCAGAGGCTCAGCAGTGGGATCCCACAGCTTTTATTGGGGTCGGCGCCACCCCCGGCCCGCCAAAACCGTGCCCAAGCTCCGCCCCCAGATGGACCACACCCCCCCAGGCCCCGCCCCCCTCCGACCACACCCTCCCAAGCCCCGCCCACATCGCACCACGCCCTTCCAGGCCCCGCCCCTCAGGCTCGGGGGGGGCTGGCGGCTCCAGGGGGGGCTCCGGTGCTCTCCAGGCTGCTGCTGCTGCTGCTGTAGGCGAGGGCGTCGCGGCACGGCCACCGCCGGCCCCCCCCGGACCCCCCCTCGGCCTCCGAGTCGGAGTCGGGCGCCGTGTGCCGCCGGATGCGGGACACAGCCTCCCGCAGCGCCTGGGCGTAAAGCACCGGCCGCCGCGGGGGGGGGCGTCCCCGGGGCCCCCCTCCTGGCCCCGGGCTTTGCTTGGGGCCCCGGGGGCTGCACGGCGGCTGGCGGGGGGGCGAGGGTGCTGCTGGAGGGGTGCGGGTTTTGGGGGACGCAGGGGGGCTGCCCGGGGGGGCGGCGGGCCCAGGGCTCCCCCCGGCGTACCGGACCTGCTGCCGCTGCGGGGGGGGCACGTACTGGGCCCGGACCACCACGCGGGTGGCATCGATGAGGACGTGCCCCCCCTGCCCCCGCCGTCCTCCGCTGCGCCCCGGGCCCCGCTCCCGGCTAGCTGCCGCACGGGGCAAGGTCTGGCTGTGCCGGGGGGGTCCCACTCCTCCAGGGGGGGTCTGCAGCCCACGGGGCCGCCGGGAACCAACCTCGGTGGCCGCCCGGGGCAGCGTGTGGCTCCAGCCCCCCAGCACAGCCCCACAGCCCCTTGGTGCCGGGGCGGGGGGGCTGCGTGGCCCCCAGGGACCGCTGCGTGGCCGGGGCTGAAGGGTGCGGTGGGGTGCGTCGTAGGCGGGGGGCGAGATGTAGGGGGGCGGCCCCCCCCGGCGCACATGGGCCGCCTGCATCCGCCGCATGTGGGTCTCGTAGCTGGGGGGGCCCAGCTTGCCCCCCGGCACCGGGTTGCGGGGGGGGGCTGCTGGGTGCCGGCCCCGGGGGGAGCTGCACCCTGACCCCTCAGGGGGTACAGCGGGCTGGGGGGGCCCGGGGCCGGCTCTCGTGGCCTGGGGGGGGCCGGTAGGTGAAGTCCTGTGGCGGGCAGGGGGTGGCAACAGGGGCAACCGCGGGGCACGGGGGGCCAAGGGGGGGCCAGCTCTGCCACCAAACGCTTCTCCAGGTACCTGCAAGACAGAGAGGGGCGTGAAGGGCGCCGCGCACAGGGGCTGGGGGCATGGGACGGAGCCCACCCCCACCCCCCCCCCCACCACCACCCCGCTGGCCCTACTCACGCGTACTCCCCGGCGAAGCTCCGGTAGGTCCAGGGGGATGCGGGCCGGCACCCCGCGGCCATGCCGGTGGCCGGGCTGCAACACGAGACCGTGTTGATCTCCACCAGCAGCAGCTTGGTCCGCTCGCAGATCCGCAGGCGCCCCGCGCCCCGTTCCGGGCCACCCAGCATAGCCCGGAGAACCGGAGGCTGCCGGTGCTGGGGGGCCAGGGGGGGCCCGGTGCTGCCGCTTCGGTGGAGCCTCGGCGGAGCCACGCGCCCACCCGCACAGGCGCAGCCACCGCCGCACGTGCACCCCCCCGGACCCCCGAGCCACCCGGTGGCACCGCCAGGCCGGGGGGATGCAGGGCACGGCCCCGCCAGGGTGTGTGGGTCCCGGTGTCGCCGGCTGTCCCAGGGGGGGGCCAAACGTGTCCCCCACACCCTCACCCCCCCCGGGATCCCTTCCCCCCCTGCGACAGCGCGAGGCGATTGCCAGGTTTGGCACCGAGCGCTGCAGCCCACGCGGGCTCGGAGCGGAGCTTAGCAACCCTCCGGCGGCGGCATGGCAACGGCACCGGCACTGGCACCAGCCCCCGGTACGGCACTCGGCTCCCTTGGCCCCCCCCTGGGCTCCCCCCGCGGCCCTCACCTCGTAACGCTGCGCCGGACCCCGCGCCGGACCCCGGAGCTGGCGGTGGCAGGGGCTGCGCTCGGCCTCCCCCCCGGCCGGGAATGTGCCGCGCTCAGCATGGCCAAGCCTCGCGCCTCCCCCGGGCAGCACCGACGGCAGATCCTGGCGTTGGGGTGGTCGGTGACCCCCCCACAAGCCCTGTGGGGACCCCCAGGGGGTCGCAGCCCCCCACCGGACTCCGCTGCCTTTCCTCAGTCCCGGTTCCCCCCTTAGTTCAGCGCCGGGAGGGTCCCCGCAGCCTGCCTGCTCCCCGTCCCGTCCCCAATCCCGGCCTTTTAGAAAAGCCACGGGCGGAACAAACAGGGATTTAGGGTCTGGGTGAGCTCAGCAGATTCCCCCGAGCCCAGGGAGGGGCTGAACCCCCTTCCCTGGGGCACCCCCTCCACCGGTGACCCCCACAGAGCCCACAGCGAGGCCGGGTTGGTGCCAGGTCGGTGTTTATTCGCGGGTTCCCCCCGCACACGAGGCGGTGGCAGGTGAAGACGCAGCAGTGAGGGGCCCGGGGACAGCCCTGGGCCGGACGGAGCCGAGTGGGGACAATTAACACGGAACAATTAAAACGGAACGGGACAAATCCCCGTGGGGGGGGGGTTGACGAGGGTCCGGGAGCCACTTGTGGAACAGCCCCAGCCCGCAGGGGGCTGATCCCGGCCCGGCTTCCACGCAGCCCTTTCCCAGCTGGGCTCGGTGCCCATGGGGGAGCACCCCTGGGGGGGCCGGGGGCTGACCCAGCGCCCCCCCGGCACGGCCAACGTGGGCGCAGGGCGCACGGCGAGGCTCCAGGGGGGAGCCAGGGGCTCTCCCTGCCCGGGGAGCCCCACGGTGGTGGTTATTGCTGGATGCTGCTGGTGAGTGGGGACCCCCCCAGCCTTCCCCAAGATCCTGGGGGGGGGGGGGGGGGCAGGAGAGGAGGGCAGGGGCACCGAGACAGGCTGAGCCCCCCCCCCGCCACCACGTCAGGGCTTGGAGCCCTCTGGGAGAACCAGGGCTTGCAGGATGTCTGAGAGAGAGATGATGCCCTTGACCACGTCGCTCTCGTCCACCACCACCAACCGGTGCACCTGGGGGGGACACGGAGGGGCTGAGGTTGGCGCGGGGACCCCCGGGCCCCACCCACCCCAAGCTGGTGCCCGGGGTGGGGTGTGGGGGGGGGAAGGGAAGGGGTTACCTCGGCCTCCACCAGGCGGTTGATGATGGTTTCCAGCGTCTCGTGCTTGTAGCACTTGAGGACGCCCTCGAAGTAGTGGGAGCGGTGCTGCAGCGCCCGCGTCACCGTCACGTCCAGGTTGTTGTACGTCTTCTCGGCCGCCAGGTTCTGGGGCAGGGAGAGGTGCTGGGGATGCAGCCGGGCCCCACACGGCCCCCCCCTCACCCCAACCCAGCCTCTACCCCCCCCCAGGTACTCACGATAACGTCGAATTTGGAGTAGATGTCCACCACCCGCCCTAGGAGGGAGAGAAGGGGCCGTGAGAGGCATGCTCGGGGCTGGTCCCGCGTGCCAGGGGCCGGTGCCGACCCCGAGGTGACATTTAGGGACAGCCGGTGCGTGCCGTGCCCCCTCCTCACCCGAATCATCGACGACCGGCAGGGCAGACACGCGGTGCTGAACGAAGATGCCCAGCGCCACGTAGATGGGGGTGCTGGTCCGCACCACGGCGATGTTGTCGTAGGTGCCGATCCGCAGCTCCTCCAGCGTCTTGGCCATGAACTCGGGCTTGGGGACCTCCGCTATCTGCAGGGGGGACGGGGAGGGGGGGACAGTGCTGACGCTGGCTCGGCCCGGCGCGCCCCAGGCACCGCGGTGCTGCCGGCTCCGGCTGCCCCGGCTCGCGGGGGGCCTGGGCCGGGGTCCTAGGAGCGAAAGCAGAGAGGGCTGGGTGGGAGCGCAGGCCCCCAGGCGGCCACGGCGCAGCGTTGGCGCTAGCAGGGGGCGGCGGGGTGCCCGTGGCAGCACCTCGAGTACCTCAAGTACCTCGAAGTACCCGCCGCAGGGCACCGGAGCTGCACCCACCTCGGCCTCCCGGAGCATGCTGGCACCGCCACCGCCGCCACCACCGCGCGGGGCAGGGCTGGGACTTACGAAGAGTTTGAGGAACTTGAGGATGCGCTTGTGGGTGAGGATGTAGAGCGTGTTCCCGGAGTCGGGGTCGATGACGGGCAGGCGGTGGATCTTGTTGCGGATCAGCGAGGAGACGGCGTCGAAGAGGCTGCGGGGGCAGCAGGAGGAGGAGGATGGGGAAGGGGGCTCGCACCCGGGGCCCCCACGAGCTCAGCCCCCTCCCCGCCGCAGGGGGGTACCTGGCGTTGGGGGAGATGCAGACCAGCGGCTTGAAGGAGTCCTGCAGGTAGACTTCTGGGGGGAGAGGAGGTGCTGAGGGGGGGCAGCGGTGCCGCGGGACGCGGAGCCACGGGGTTTGGGGTGCCCCAGGCAGGTCTGGGGGTGGGGGGGGGGGAAAGCAGCCGGGGGCAGCCCCCCCTCACCTCTCCACTGTCTCTATCTTGTGCTCCTCCAGCTCGTAGATCTGCACCTGGGCCCCGGCAGAAAACCCGGGGTTAACCCCGACCCCGGCAGGAGCCAGAGCCCAGGTCCGTGGGGACAGAGCCCCCCCGCCGGCCCTACCATGGGTGACTTGTAGTAGCGGTGCAGGATGTTGATGAAGTCGGTGATGGTCAGCATGCCTGGGGGGCAGGCGGGGTGAGCAGAGCCCCCCTGCTGGCCCCCCCCCCGCAGCCCCAGCAAGCCCCCCATCCCGCTCGCTCACCCACAAAACTCTGCTTCTTGCTGTCCCACAGCGGGGCAGCCCGCACGCCGTTGGTGACCAGCGCGAAGAAAGCCTTCTTCACCTGCCGTGGGGGGGTGTCACGGGGGGGGGACGGGGCACCCTCAGGCAGCCCAGTCCCCCCCCCCCCGTTCCAGGTAGTAAAACCTTAACGGGGGCGGAGAAACGACCCCAAACCTGCCCCCGGCCCCACCTGCAGGGAAGTGTCGAAGACGACGAGCTTGGAGCTGGTGGGGATGAGGTCGTAGCAGCGGTGGGACTTCATGAAGGCGGTGTAGGCGCCGCGGCGAGGCTCCCCTGGGGACCCGCAGCATGAGGGGGACACCCCAAACGCAAGGCACCCCAAAACATGAGACACCCCAACACCAGGACACCCCGAAAACATGAGAAAACCCGGTAATGGGACAGCCCAAAAAATGAGACACTGGTAAACAGGACAGCCCCAAAATATGAGAAAATCCCAACAGCAGGACACCCCAAAACATGGGACACCGCAACACTGGGACACCCCAACAAGAAGACACCCCAATGCCAGGACACCCCATAACATGAGAAACCCCAACACCAGGGCACTAGGACACCCCAACAAGAGGACACCCCAATAAGAGGACACCCCAAAAGTTGAGAAACCCCGACAAGAGGACAGCCTGACAACGGGACACCCCAAAACACGAGAAAACCCAATAACGGGACACCCCAACAAGAGGACACCCCAAAACATGAGAAAACCCAATAACGGGACACCCCAACACCAGGACACCCCAAAATATGACAAACCCCAACACCGGGACACCCCCAAAACACAGGACACCCCAACACCGGGACACCCCAACACCCCAAAACACGAGACACCCCAAGAGGACACCGGGACACCCCAAGAAAAGGACACCCCAAGATGACACCCCAACACCGGGACCCCCTAAAAGGGGACACCCCAACACCGGGACCCCCCCCCTACCCCCCGTGACCCCTTCCCGGAGCCCAGCGCAAGGCCCCGGGGTCAGCCGCGGCGTCACCTTCCAGCCCCGGGGGGCTCTGCTCCGCCGGGCTCCCCGCGGCCGGGCCGGGGCCGGGGCCGGGATCCTGCAGAGCGACAAGGACCGGGCCGGGCGCGGCCCCGCTCCCGTTACCGCCGCTCCCGTTACCGGGACCCCCCCCCGGTCCCTTTAACGCCCCCTCCCCGGTCCTTTTAGCCCCCCCCATGGTCATTTTAGCGCCCCCCAGTCCCTTCAGGCCCCCCCCGGTCCCGTCAGCCCCCCCCCGCCCCGCTCCCGGTGCCGCCCCCACCTCCATGGCCCCCTTCTGGGTCCCGTCCCGCCGCCCCACTTCCGCCCGCTTCACGGCGGCGTCTTCCGCCAGCACTGCCCACGTGACCGGAAGCGCGCCCTGCCCGCGCGGCGACCTTTCCCTCCTCCCCCTTCCTCCCCCCCCCGTGACCCTGCTGGGGGGGGGGGTCCCGGGGGGGTCCCCCCAGGCTCAGCAGGGCCCGGGCCGGCCTCGGGGGGGGGGTCATAAAAACGGGGTGTGTCCCCCCCCTCCCCCCAAACCGGGTGTGTTTTGCTCGTTTTTATTTTTATTTTATTATTTTTTTAATAATTTTTAATTATTATTATTGTGTGTTTTTTTTTTTTCTTTTTTTTTCTTTTTTTTTTTTTTTTATACCTTAAAACCTTTTTGCAGCTTTTGACGAGTTGCGGAAGCAGCTTTCAAGAGCGCCCCGGCCCTGCCTGGCCCCCCCCATCCCCTGCACCGGCCCCCCCCCAAACACCCCCTCTGTTGAGGGAGGCCCCCCCCCCCCTCAAATCCCCCTCCTCCGGTACCGGGAGGGGCCCCCCCGGACCCCCCCCGCTCTTCGCCGCGTGTTTGTGCGTTAAAAAATCCCGGCTCCCCCCGAGCCGTGCGGCCCCCCCCGTGCCCCACCGGGGGCCAGGAGGAGGAGGAGGAGGGGGGGGGACACAGCCAGGGACCCCCCCCCAGGGTGCTCTGGGGCGGGGGGGGGGGGCACAGCCAGGGACCCCCCCCCAGGGGTGCCAGGGCCGGGGGGCACCGCATAATGCCCACTCGCTGCTCCGCTCCCCGAGGCCGCCCTTGCCTGGGGGGGGAGGGGGGGGCTCCCTAAATGCCGTGCCCCCCCCCCCCGTGCGCCCCCTGCAACCCCAATCTCAGCCCAGCAGAGCACAAAGAGCCCCCCCTCCCCCCCCATCTAGTATATACAATATAAGGTATAAATAGATAAATAACCTGCCCCCCCCCCCGTGCCAACAGCGGAGCCCCAGCAGGTGGGCGAGGGGGGGGGCGGGATGATCCCCTTTGCCCCCCCCTCACCCCCAGCTTTTGGGGGGAGCGGGGTCAGTGCCCCCCATCCCCTGTACGTCCCCCCCCCCCCAAGCCCCCCAACCTTGCACCTTGGCACATCGCACGGCTGGGGGGGGGGGCAACACAGGAGGGCGGGGGTGCCCCATGTCCCCCCCCCCCCCGTAGGGACCCCCCCCTGCCAGGGGCCTTCTGCAGCCACAGAGGGGATGGGGACAAAAGGGGGGGGGGAGCAGAGAAAAGGGGGGGCAACAAGAGGTGCTAGGGCACGGCCGCCCCCATAGGGAGGCTGGGGGGATAGGGGGGGTATTGGGGGGGGGTGGGGGTATTGGGGGGGGGGGGCTCACATTTAAAAACAACGAAAAATCTAACACTTGAAATGAGGTAGGTTTGGGTGCAGAAGCTCCTTGTGTCTGGCGGGGGCCCTTCGCCGCGCGCGCGCCTTTTCCTCCCGCGTCGCTCCGCTCGCTCCGGGGCTCGTCCGAGACGCACAAAAAAAAATTAATAAAAAAAAAAACAAAACAAAAAAAAAACAAGAGAGCCAAAAAAAAACAAAATACACACAAAAAAAAGGAAAAAAAACGACAAAAAAAAAAAAAAAAAAAGGAACCGAGGCGAGCTCTGGCCGCCGCCGGCGCGCGACGGGGCAGAGCCCGGATTGTCGAGCTCAAGGAGTCTGTGTTACCTTGGTAATTAGCGAGCAAATATTATTAAGGTTTGTTTCTAAAAATCCAGGCCGGCGGCTCCCAACTCGCTCCGGCTCCGCTGGGACCGCTCCTGCTCCCCCCCCCCTCCGCCCCAAAACCACCTCCGTGGCTCCCCCCGCCACGAGGGAGGCGGGCGGGGGGGAGTGAGGGGGGGGTCGGTTTTTTTTTTTGGGGAGTGGGGTACGGGGGGAGGCTCGCCGGCCCCCCCCCCCCCCCCCACCTCCCCGCTTTTTTCCTCGCAGGACGAAGCAAAGAAAACCCTGAGTTGCCAGTCCAGTCCGTCCGTCCGTCCGTCCGTCCCCATTCGGGCCGGGCCGGCGACCTCCGTGCCCCGGTGGCCGCCACCAACCGCCCCCCCCCGGGGCACCTCCATGGCCCCCGGGGGCCCCGTCCCCCCGGCGGAGGGCCCCCCTTTTTTTTTTTCTTTTTTTTTTTGGGGGGGGGGACACCGGTGCGTCCCTGGGAGGGCTCCGAGACATCCCCGGCCTCCCCCCGGCCCCCCCCCCCCAAATTTCTCTCGCCGCTAGTTCATCCACTTTCGGCAGTTCCAGGCTCCGCAGTGGCAGGGGATCTTGTGCTGATCGTCCTCGAAGTCGAACTGGTAGTCGTAGGTGAGCTGGGGGGAGCGGGGAGTCACGCACGGCACGGCCCCGCGCCCCAAAATCATCCCCCCAGACCCCAAATCCCTCCCCAACACCCCCCCATCATAATCCCGGCCGCCCCGTGTGCCCCCCCCGCCTGACCTCCTCCCCCTTGGGGATGCGCCGGCTGGAGATGATGATGATTTTGTCCTCCTTGTCGAAGGTCACGACTTCGGCCACGCAGTTGGGGGCGCACGAGTGGTTGATGTACCTGGGGGGGGGGGGGGCACAGCAGGATCAGCACCGAGCTGTGGGGCAGTGAGGCACCAGGGGGGGGGGGGGTCTTCACGGCCCCACGCTCACCTGGCCGGGCCCCCCGTCAGCGTGGCGTCAATGACGTGCTCGTTGTTGATGCGGAACATGTAGATGCCACGGTTCTAAGGAGGGGACAGAATTGGTGTGACTGCTGCCCCAAACCCCCACAACCCCCCAAAACCCCCTTCAGGGTCCCTCAAAATCCCCCAGGGTCCCCAAAATCCCCCCAGGGCCCCCCAAAACCCCCCCCTCCCTACCTGCTCCTCGTAGATCTTCTCGCGCCGGTTGGCCACCTCGTTGCGGATGATGGTGCCGATGTACTCGATGACCATGGTGTGCTTCTCGATGTCCTTGGCGGCGTAGAGCCCCAATCCCTGGATTCGGGACCTCGCCAGGTAGACGTTGTTCTTCCACTCCGTCTTCAGGCGCCGGTACTGGGAGGATTTGGAGTGCACGAACTGCTTGCTGTAGGGCGTGTTGGTCTCGCCCGTGAACGTGCTCTGGTAAGCCTTGGACATGCTTGTGCTGTTCAGGGTGTGGGGCCTGCCAAGGAGGGGGTGTCAGAGCCCAAAGGGGGGTGCCCCAGGGGGTCTCCCCTAAGGATCTCCCAGCCCTTGGTGCTCACCGCTTGTAGTGGGTGAGGATTTTGGGCTCGGCGCGGGCGCAGCCGGTGGGGTTGATCATCAGCGGCAGCTCCATGAGCGGATGGCGCCCGTAGCGGAACAGGTAGTTCTGGCAGCTCTCCACGCCGGGCAGCTGCCAAAAAAGAGGGAGCCGAGGGGCCGGGGGTTGAGGGGCAGCCCCACGGGGCCACCCCCCAGCCCCACCGGCACGGCCTGCCGGTCCTTTAGTGAGGGGGCTGCAGAGAGGAGACCCCCTTCACCCCCCCCCTCCCCACCCCAACCCCGGGCACCTACCGACTCGGCGATGCGCAGCACCGCGTGCACCGTGAGGCCGAAGAGCTCCTCGCCCTTCAGGTACTCGGGGAAGAGCCGCAGCATGTCGGCCTCCTTCCTCATCATCGCCACCGGCTCGATGATCCGGTTCCAGACGGCTGCCACGGGGGGTGGAAAAAAAGCGGGGACCTGAGCTGCGCGCCCGCAGCTCGAGGACGCTTTTTACCCCGTTCCCCCCCCCCCTTTCCCAAAGCACCCAGAGGCTCAGCCCCAGCTCCGGGCACCTCCCCGTGGCGCTCACCCTGTGGCGAAGAGTCGGAGAAGACCAAATCCTCCAGGCCCTGCTCGATGACCTGCACGACGAACTCGGGGCGCCCGTTGTTCTCGCAGATGGTGCAGCGGTAGCAGCAGCGGCGGTTGTTGGTCCGCAGGCTCCAGTAGATGCGCGTGGCCTCGTAGCCCACGGGGTAGAGAGCCGTGACGCTGTGGAAATCGGCCATCTGGTGGGGCAGCAGCTGCCCGATGGCGTGGAAGACCAACCCGCCCACGCGGAACATGTGGAGCCGCTCGCCCCGCTGGATGATGCTGGCGATCTGCTTCACCTCGTCCCGCTCGATGTAGACGCGCCGGAAAACGGTGAAGGTGCTGAGCTCCTGCTCGCAGGGGCCCTTCAGCTTGTGCAGCGGGCACAGCATCGTCTTGTCCTTGAAGAACATGCACTTGGCGCGGATGGCGCAGGCGAAGTGGTAGACGCTGGGGCAGCGGATGCGGTTGCAGCTGTTGGTGGCGCCGGTTTTCTGGCACAGGGAGCACTTGGTGAGCAGCCCGCGGTGCAGGGCCACCTCCACGTTGATCAGGGCCCCCCCCTGCGTCTCGTAGACCTCGGTGGACCACAGGGCGCAGTTCAGGTGGACCCAGAGGTCGAGGTCGAGGTTGAGCAGGCGGGCCGGCCCGTCCGTCGCCCCGTCGCCCTCCTCGTGGCAGAAGCAGCACTTGCGCAGGTCCCGCGGCACCTTCTCGGGGCGCAGCGTGGTGCCCAGCTTGTCGATGAACTCCGCGATCTCCTTGTCCCCGTCCCGCTTGGCCCCCCCTTTCTGGATGGTGACCAGGAAGCGCAGCCGTTTCCACCTCACCCCCTTCCACTTCTTCAGCCGGGGCCGAGCTTCGTCCCCGTCCCCCTCCGGCGGCCGCGAGCGCGGCTTGAAGCGGGGCGGCGAGTGGGGGGCCGCGGCCCCCTCTTCCCCGGGGGCTGGCGAGGGGGCGGGGGGCAA